CAGATCCTCTGGCTCCAAATCTGCGACCGGGCACTCTATGGCTCCGTCATCGAACTGCCAGGCTTTGTGAGTATTGGCGACGTGATCGATCGAAAGCGTCGCTGTGGCCGGCCTGCCACGATTGGCCGAATGCTGACTATGACGTCAGCAAAGGATTTCTCATCGACGGAAATAAGAGTATTGTATGAACTTTGATTTTGACTGGGGTCTCCAGTGTTGATTTCAGACCGCAATGGTTTCAAGCTCCCACCATGCTAATTACAAACACCACGAAACTTGTTCTTCGCAAGGTAATGACGTCACTAAAGAGAACCATAGGAGGGCACCACTAATACATCTCGCGCGATGGTACCTTTGGCAGGTGTTCAGCCGTTCGGAGCTCGTGAACTAAGCACGAGTGATTGCGAGCCTGCCAAAGTTACCCTTGAATGCATGATGCTCCTCTTGGAGCATAGCCGCCTCTATTCTATAAGGAGTATTCACTGGCGGCCATATCTGTGTGTGCGAATGCTGAGCGCGAGCTGACGGCGAGCTTCCACAGTTCTTTGGCAACGTGCATTCCGCACTATCAAGAGTGCCGGTCTTAGCAGCCTATTGATGTGAGCTCGTTCTGAGCATGCGCTCTAAACAGCACCCACAAATATGGCGTCCAGTGAATACTCCCTATACAAAGCCTGTGAAATCGCGAAAGACTCTGGTTTGAGGCTTGTCGCTGTCATTTGTTTCTGTTTGCCGTTCTAGTGGGAATCAGGCGTAAGTGTTATCCATAATCTATGAGACAGAATTGATATCGCTGGTTTTTCGCTGTCTGATCACAAAAGCTATGTTGACAAACGCGCCTGCACTATCACGGGAAACAAAGCCAATAATCTAACGAAAAGCGCTGCGACGGGTGAAAGATAACATTGAGTCGTGCAAAGCAGTAACGGAGCAAAGGTTAAGGAGACAGAGGGAGGGAGAGGAATTCAAGTTCCTCAATATGTTTGTTGACGATTAGCGGCAACCAACACGCAAGACGAACCACATACCGCGGGTACAAGATGGCGTCTCTCAGTGCATTTCGCTGCTGTGCGCCGCCACTCATATCCAAGAACCCGCACGGTCGTGCAGTCGGCGCTTCAATGAATGTTCCTACTTATGCACATAAGCACAAAGTGCGCCTCTTATCAAGGAACCAATATTCACACATCCATAGTACGAACTTGAACGACGACTTGCACTCAACGGTTCCTTTTAACGCAAAAACGTGTTCGCGGGCCCATGTGAAAATGCGTTAGGCTATAGAGTGTAACTAAAGGCGGTTACACGCAGAGACAGGCAACCCAGAGCATACATAGCCTATAGGAGGCAATGCATAAGCATACAACGCATGTAGGGCTTGCATAGGCGACTACTACAGGGAACTCAAAAGCCCGAGCCCCTCCCTCCTCCGAGCTCTTTAATTAATCTCATCTGTGCGCCCTGGTGAATACACATCTCGATAGCTGGCGCACAGTGGATAAGTAAAACTTTTTATCCACTCACCAGCTCTGGTCACTAAGTGACCAGAGCTGATGAGAAGATACATTTTTCTAACTAATCGCGCAGTCATGTTCGAAAGCCCTCGTATAGTATTAGCAAATACGATAAAGGCTAGTGCTGGAAATACCTTCGAAAGCCATTGGAAGTAGTTGCGAATAGTTGCGAATCACGACAGTGGCACCTCTATGGGACCTCCAGCCTACGGAAGTAGACAACATAATACGTTTTGTAAGCCCTATTTTATTTTCCCAAACGTTGAAACAATGCATTACGGTCAGTGCGCTTGAACTACGGAATTCACTGATCACAACTGCAATGAAACCTAATCAGAGGGCCACAAAAGCAGACACTTGTTTAGGTATCATGCCGTCAGCATGATTATCCTACGTTATCCAGGTGATTACACACGTTTGGGACGTTTTTTTCAAGAGACGTCCTAGACGTTTCCCGAAAAGGGGTGTTGTTGGGGGGGGGGGGGGGGGGGGGGGGACGCACACTTTCCCCCCTTTTTCCAGTAGATTGAGAACTTTCCGCCTATGTGTAGAAGCATACCCAGTCATAATTAATCACAATTGAACTAAGGGCGCAATGGTAATCGAACACCGGCCCATGGATGGATGGATGGATGGATGAATCCGGCTGAGCCCTTTGGATCGGGCGGTAGCTTACGCCACCTAGCCATTTTGTTTTACCATTTAAGCTTAGAATATTTAAATGTGAAAATTATATTCACTCCGCACTGCAAAAAAGTGAGGCTATAAAACCCCCTTGCCATCAGTTAATATGAAAATACCTATTTTCTCTCGCTTTCTGCCACCATTCACTTAATCTTTGCTTGGTAATCTCTACTGTCTTGAAATCCACTCTTCCTTCGCTGTCTCTAAAACCCAATGACTTTATTAAATCTATGTTGTCTTCGGTAGGCATAGGGTGAAGCCCTTTACAGTAGAGTATCAAGTGCTCGGCCGTCTCGTCCTCCTCTCCACAAGCAGTGCACACTGTATCCATTTCCTGGTGCTTCGCTTTGTATGTTCTGGTTCGCAGAACACCCGTCCTCGCCTCAAACAGCAATGAGCTTCCCCTAGAATTGTCATAAATGCTTTCTTTGGCAATAACTGTTTTGTTTAATCTATAGCTTCCCAGAGCCGTCTTTGTCTGCATTCCCTCTAGCCACCGATCTCTTTCTGTGGCCTTAACTTTCTTCTTAACTGAGACTTGCTCTTCCGTATCTTCGCTATAGCCCAAAAACTTTCCTTTTAATTTCCTAGTGCGCTGTCTCCACTTTGTGTCTACACTCCTCATGTATAAATAGCTGAAAACCTTTCGTGCCCATTCCTCCCCATCCATTTGCCTCAACCTATCCTCAAATTCTACCTTGCTCACCGCTTCCCTGCTCTTAAATGACGCCCATCCCATGTCTCCTTGTACTCCCTGGCTTGGCGTTTTGCAATGTGCCATCAAAGCCAGTCTACCTACTCCGCGCTGTTTTATTTCTAGTCTCGCATGCACTTCGGATTTCATGCATAGCACTGCGTTTCCAAAAGTCAAGCCAGGCACCATGACCCCTTTCCAAATCTCTCTCACCACCTCGTACCTGTTGTAACTTCAAAGTGCTATATTTTTCATTACAGCTGAATTTCTGTTGGCCTTGCCTATTATATACTTTTTCATGCTCACTGAAATATTCTGCACCATCACATGTCCATACTCCTAGATACTTGTATTTGCTAGCTCTCTCAACTGTAATATTCTGTATCTTCAGCCTCTCAACTTCATCATCGTTAAAAATCATAACTGCTGATTTTTCGCTACTGAATTCTAAACCTAATTCCTCTCCTTCCCTACCACAGATGCTCATTAATTCCTGCAACTCTGTCCTGTTGTTAGCCATTAGTACGATATCATCCGCATACATCACTCCCGGTAAGGATTGCTGAATTTTATGGCCTAGCTTACTGTACGAAGGGTCGAATCCAAGCCCACTCTTCTCTAGTCTATCCTCCAATCCTCTCAGATACAACATAAACACCAACGGCGATAACGGGCACCCCTGCCTAAGGCCTCGTCTTATCTCTATTTTCCCCGTCGCCTTTCCTTCCCATGTTATAATCACATTATTATCTTTGTAAATGTTTCTTAATATCGCTGTTAGTCCTTGATCTAGGTTTAAGCTCTCCACCATGTCCCACAGGTTCCTTTGGTTCACATTGTCATAGGCACCCTTGATATCCAGAAATGCCAGCCAGAGCTGTCTGTTTTCTTTTTGCGCTATTTCTATACACTGTGTTAGAGATCCGCAACCCATGCAATCCGCAACCACGCCCTCTGTGGGCGCGGAGGTGAAATGGAGGGAAAGAACTGGAGTCATGTGGCTCAAGGGACGCTCCCGTAGTATATAGGCGACCGTCGGCGCGCTCGGAACTGACTTCCGAATGACCACTTCCCACGGTATCTGGCAATGTCACCGGTCCTGAATAAATTTATACGTGTCTCGGTTACTCTAAACAACCCGGCAAGTACATCAGTGTGTCGTGCGCGCGATGCATCCTAAACTCCCAAAGGATTTCGTAACCAGGCATAACAAGTCGCAACGCACGCATAATGCTTGCACGATGCTTTCTGTGCTCCGTGATCGCCTCGGTTTATCGCATATTTCTGTCGCAACCCGAAGGCCCTTATTAAAACGGCGATTATCCGAGATGTACTCCGCAGGTCCGGGTTCCCAAATGTTGTTTCCGTGTTTGCAACTACCTCGTATAAATAAACGGCAAACGACGATCGGCCTCTCGATGTAACGCACTCAGTGCATCGTATATGGATATGGAAGAGTCGCATTTCTATGTTGTACCGTTGTACCACCAGCGGCGGCACAAACACGAGTGCAACAGAGTACGTAGACTGCCAGTCTGACACTTTGTAAATAAAATAAAAATTAATATTAAGAAAGAGGCAGCTCTTTATACAAGAGCAATGAATAAGGACAAACGTGAGAGAGAAAAAAAATAATTTTTAAAACTCCGACACGTGTTTTCATATACCGAATGCAATAAATACCATAAAATTGCGTTGAATATATTATACCCTCAGCATCGGAGGACACCGCAGACAGACGTTTTAGGCAAAAAATAATTTAAAAAATTACAAATGAAAAAAAAAAAAAAATTACAAGCTTAGTCACGCGCATATGCCCACGTGGTTTTGTTTCCTGTGGCTGGCAGAAGAAAAAAAAAAGAAAAAAAAGCAATGCGCGTTTTGCGCTGAATACATTGCCCCTACTTTTTGCACCTATCTTCTTTAAGCTCGTTAAAAATAAGAGTTTTTTTTCTATGTAACATTTCCTGCTAACACGAAATACAACTGTCGAAGCAGGAAGTGCGCTCAGCGTCCGTCCAATTTTGATCTCTTTCAACCCTGTTGTTAGATCAGTCTGAAATCTATTTATTCGACCGGTTCGCGGGCAGGCGCGCTACTCCTTTCCCAAGGAGGCGCCATGCGTCACGTCCGATCGAGCGTTGTTCCCTGTGGTTGTTCCCCTGAGCACAAACGTCGTACCGACCCCGATGGCATCCGATCGAGAGAAAGCACGCTGTTCGGAATTCGGCGAGGAAGCTATGCCGTCTGAACCGCCGGAAGACCACAGGGCAGCTCGAGATCCATGTCACAGCTGGTAAACGCAGCATGCGCAGCGGTGGCAGGTGGGGACTGGTCTAGCCTGCAACCGCAAACCAACTTCTCGCTGAATATTTTCATTCGAACGGCGGCGCTCGAGCGGCCTTCACGCTGCTGCTGCGTGCAACGCAGGTGGGTTGTCTCTTTATGCTTGACTCGCCGATGCGCGGCCGACGCGGCTAACCTTGGCTTCCTTCGAGATATCTTTTCTTTTTGGAATCGCGTTGGAAACGCCTCGCTATAAGGAAAATCCGCAGCGTGTACGTTTCGGGAGCCAGCGGGACATGAGCGCTACCACAGCCGTCGGAGTAAAGAATGATGCAATAGACCGTTTACTGAATTACCCATGGCATCCAAGGGAATGCTGGGAACGTAGGCAGACGTGCCGCACGTGCTAGCGCCCGCAGCAGCGGCAGTTCGAAAGCGAAGATCTAACGCGGACGCAACAACGCGTGCGGCGGGCGTGTCTAACTTCCGCCATATGCCAGAACGGAGAGCGTTGTATGCTGTGCACGCATTGGACTGATCAAGAGACACTAAGAAAACGTGTTAAGTATTTTGCCTCAAAAAAAAAAAAAAAGAGTGCCCAAGTGTTCTTCGTGTTCCTGGGAATTAATTTTCTTCCATTATTTTTAGGCGAGTATTTATTTCTTCACGATGTAGAGCGCGTAACAATAGCGGCCGAACCCAAAACCTGTTGGGAGTCAGAGAGGAAAATAAAAGAAGGAAAACCGAGAGGAAAGGGAGGGAGAGAGAGATCAAATGAGTGAGAGTGAGAAATACATTGTGACGTTACATTCGAAAACAGCTGCAAGCGACGAAATTGCTTCGGTTGTTTATTTTGCTGTAGCGGATGGACCGTTGGACTGTTTAGGTTGGGCAGAGTGCCTCCATTTTTAAAATACGTATAACGTATTTCCAAGCCTGTCTCAGCAATGCGAAATAAATGTTCGCGTTGACGAAGAGACCATAATACGATACGAGAAGAAATTTACTGACCGCAGAAACAATAAAACAAAGTCGGGATGATGGACGACGAACATTTCTTTCAAGAAATGTTCGTCGTCCATCGCCCGAGTTTGTTTTATTCGTTTTGTTGTCAGTCAATTTTACCAACACGCTCTTCAGTTAATTTAAAGAAATTTATATTGTCTGTACCTTAGCTACAGATTTTAATTGGATGAATTTGGTAGCTAAATTACTACCAAATTCTTAGCTAAGTTACCCAAAACAAAAACAAACTCCTTTTTTTTTTTTTTTTTACTTCGAAGATGCGGGAACAGACTGGGATTTCATTTTTCAATTGGCTGTTGGCGCAAACGTGCAGCCAATTGAAATCCAAACTTCGGTTCGAGTACAGCAAAGCTTTCCACGGGCTTTAAACTTGTTTCCATATAATATCTTAAAGTAAGTTATGACTTAAGCTATACCTTTCATTTAGTACTTTAAAGCCAAATATTCAATAATTTTATGTAATTTTCCCAAACTTGAATAGCTTCACCCGCGCTCCGTTAAACCCCCCGTGTATCTTCCTGAAGATAAAAAAAGTTCTGAGAGGAAAAGGAAACATTTTTTTTAGCCTAATGTCCTCTTTGCTGAGCGTTTTGATCCTAGGCTTTGGCAAGGCAGAAAGTTGGGCGAGTCGGCTGCAGGGTGAGAACGCAAGTTGACGAAAGACATGACACAGGAAGAGCACAGACGCTGACTGTCAACAAGAGGTTTATTTTCCAGCGAACCAGAAAAGTAAACACGAGGCAGGGAAAGGAAACAAAGACGACACCATATAACCGATCAAAACACTCCTATCGCGCCGTATAACTTTCACACAAGACTGCCACAATTCTCGATAAAATGTATTTCGTCACACCCCAGGGATACCGAGGGTGCGCTAACACCTTTGTCTTCACCTCTCGATAAAATTAAAAAGGCCCCACCCATCTCCCTGGCGTTCTTAATTTTGTAACGCGCTAAAATCGTCCAATCATCGAACGAAGAAACGCAGCTGCACCTACAGCAATGCACCGCAAAATAGCCTTTGACTTTTTTTTTTCTCTTTTTTTAAGGCGATAGTATTTTATATGACACTGCATTACGAGTAAAGTACAAAATATCGCGGATGTGTTTGCATAAACTGTGTTACGCTATCTGTAGGTACTGTATGTGCAAGTACTACGAAAATGAGTCGTTTTTTTTTTTAATCAAAGAAATTATAAAAAAAATACATGAACATTGGCAAGACAACCTGCAAGATAATAATAATAATAAAAAAGACACCAATCTTCACAAGCCTTTGGATCCGTCGGCAGTGGCAGACGAGTGATGTGGGTAATACATGAAGTACAGTACACAGTAACGCTTCCTTTTATTTCTCGGAATGTTTTCAGAACACCCAGACTCGCCTGGGTAACATTCCCAACTTTCAGGACCTAAAGGGGGCGCACTGGCGAATATCAAAATGGGTGTCATCTGGATTATCGTCGTAGAGCAGCAGGACGAGGTAGGGTCTGTGACGCGTAACTAGAGTTTTGTGAACTGCGAGCGATGGTAAAGGTCTTACTTCGTACTTGCACGTCAGAAAAGTGTAAGCGTATATCCCCATTGTGAAGCCGATCATCCAGGAGCTAGGGAGCGCGATTCCCACACCGCGGTACCACCAACGTTGAAAGTTGCGAATAATTTACAAGCTATTCTGATAATCTAAAAAAAAAAAAATCGATAAACTGTCTACTTTAAATAAACATTTTAGCGTTCCGGTAGAGAGATCTACTCCGTTTGGTTGTCCTGCCTGAGGCGATCTGAGCACTTGAGTGAGGTTCTCACTGCAAAGTGAACTTGGGGCGAAACCCATCCTCGTCCGTCTTCAAACGGCGCTTCTTTGACGGCGCGTTTGCGTGGCTCCGCTGAACTGCGTGGCCATATAACAGCTCGCAGCGACAAAACGAAAAACATATAAACGCCACCATATTTGTGAACGCATGCCTTTCTTAGCTGGAAGCCTGTTATGCACTAACCCATATTTCTGACGTCACGGTTAAGCGGTGCTACGGCTCTGGAACAAGGCTCTGGAAAAAACGGGCTTCTGCGCATGCGCAGTAATTCCTGCGGGCAGACGTGCTTGACTATAAACGTTGTGTTGTTTACCCTAAGTGACTCAGGTTGAACACACTGCGCCAGTGCGGTTGAAGAGCAAAACCTCGAACACACTGCTACTGCGACAAACAACAGACAGTCTGCAAACACTGTCTCAGTCGTGTTTCTAAAGAACTGTCTGTAGACATGATTGAAGCATCGAAGGTGCTTGAGGCGCGTCCGCAGATGCTTTTGGCATCACGTCTGCAGCAGACACAGTGTCTTTTCTATGATGTATGAACACAGGTCTTTCAAGCGTCACTGCTGGCCTCCCCTACCCTTTTCTTTGAAGAGACATCATGGCGGAGGCAGAAGGCCGACCCGCCGAGCCCGCGGGATGGGCCAAGGCGCTCATGTCTGTGTGCTCGCTGATGTTCGGCGTCAGCGCCTGGGTCAGCATCAACGGACTCTGGGTCCAGATGCCGCTGCTGGTGCCCCGCCTGCCCGAGGGCTGGAACCTGGGCTCCATCTTGGTCATCGTCATCCAGGTTGCCAACCTGGGTCCTCTGGCGTATACCCTGGCTCGAAAGCGTGTCCAGGTAAACTCGAGCATTCTTTGACGTCATGAACCGCGGGAGGGAGGTCCCTCAGTAGTGGTGCCTAGAACACGTCTCCAACTAGTGTGTTTATATGCTTTACCGCGTTCTTCTTTCTGGTCCCTCGATTTTCTGCCGATGACGTTACACTTGTGTCGCACTGTTGTCTGCTGCGATCCTGGCAGTGGCACAGAAGAGAAGATGGATATGGCAAACGCCTTCTTTGCTGTAGGTCGCTTTCCAGTTTGACAATCTACGGAAGCTTCGGCCTTTCTGTTGGCACGTTTCGACGGCAGTGACACTGGCGTTCACTCGTCTTTACTGGGCGGAACTTATCGCACCAGCCACTAAGACAGCGACATCTGACGACACGCCGGCTCCCGTGGCGTTATTCGTTTTGGGGTCCCTTCCGGTACGTGGGCGGGAAAGGCGTTATAAGCACACGAATCGAAGACGCGTTCTAGGCACTGTACTTCGTCATTATCGTCAATTTCCAAGTGTGTTAAACCGCAGAGAGGTCCTTTAGTAGTGTATGCCTTGAGTGTGCACTTCCTCTCCCTCCATCATTGTCTGGTGTCCCGTAACTTTCCAGCGTGCACCCGCACTCGAGACGAAGAACAACGGGTGTGGGCTGGAGACAGGTGTGAACAACTTTCCGATGCTTTGCTTCTTAATTAAAGTGAACGTGTTGTAATTATGAATGATTAAACTACAAAGAATAAAATACGGAGGACGTCCACAGACAACGGCACTCTGTGGTTGCCTGTGAATGTCCTCCGTGTTTTTATTCTTTCTAGATTAAGTATACTATACTGTCCGTCACTAACCCTAATGTTCTCTTCTGAGAAAGACAGGATTGAAGAAACCCCCGACGGGAAATACAACTGTCACGCACGCAGCGGCGAAAAGCGAAACTCTGCTTTGTTTGAGTTTAGCTCGGAGCAAGGTTACCGGCTCAAAGCCGCCACTTTCTCAACATCACGATCACGGGACGTATGTTGTGGTATGACTTGCCCCTTCAAAGTAAAGAATTCGCACTTATATACTCTTTTACTGTTTACAAACATGAACCGCTACTTGCGTGCAATGCTACTTCCGGTCGCTCCGTGTTCACAAGCTTGTCGAACTTGCTTATGACACCAGTCCAGAAATCATAAATGCTACATGGACAACAAAGTTGGGGATTAAGCAAAGGCCTTAGGCTGTACGATCTAGCGTCTTAGCGAAGACAAGTTGGTCTACAAGAAAGTACGCAATATTTGAACAAATCTCGCGCTTCTTGGTTCTTTTGGCGTTCGCCTGGAGAATTTGTCGTTAAATGTTCCACTGACGTTTCAAGCAGCGGTGTTAAGGCGGGCTTTGATCATAGTTTTTATGAATCGCAAGTTCGCTCGGACGCCAAAGACTGGAGCATCGCGTGGAGGTGTTTGCAAAGAAAAGTTTATAGCATTTCTTGTGTGCAGAATCAATAATGCGGATTGCCTCACTGTCAACTGCTCTTTGAGTATATTGTAGACATGCACGCAAAAAATGCCACTTGTTTACTATTCACTCCGAATGAATTACGCGACAACGTTCCCGCAGCGCATAATCAACGGCTGCTACCCATGAAGCGCGTACTATACGAATCACGTGTCTCAAAAGATGGTTTGGCTTGAAAATTCTATCAGCGAGGGGTCAATACGCAAGACGTGCTATATCCTTGTTCCTCTAGCTAAGATACCGTTTCTGAGCCGAATCTCTTTGAAACTATGTCATCTCTCGATTCCCTCCACGTGTCACTGTGCTTGGTCACTATCATGCATTGAAAAGAAGTTGACAGAGAAGTGGGAGTTTGTGAAACGTTGCCTGTGACACTCAACACATATTAAAACGATAGCGTTAAGCACCTCGTGTCGCAGAAAAGCCGGCGTCAGTGGCGTGACGCGAAAATCCTGATTGGTCGGTAAAGTCATGACGTCACAGCCATATGACCTCGCGCGGGAATTTCAAACCACCCACAACACTCACGGCAAACGTGACGTCACGCGTGGAATGAAAGTGATTAAAACATGGCATGGAACGCGAATTAAAAGTCGCCGCGCGCATATCTTAAATGACTTCACTTTATAAAATAATTAATTTGCCTCAAAGAAAATTTTGGAGAATTTCAGGCGGGATACCAACCCACGACCCTTCGGTTACGAGCCAGACACGCTGATGACTAGGCCACGCAAGGCACGCTTGCACGGCGAATGAGAAGGCGATGCAAACGGGGCCCGATGACACTATCGCGTTCCACTCTTCAAAGCAGGGAAGCTAAAGCGGTTCTTGAAAGAAATGAAATTGAGGTGAATTCTAGAGTAATTTTATCCCGTGAATCTGAATATCACGAAGGTGTAACTAAACGCGAGAAAACACGAAAACCCTCCGACCAGTCGTTACGTCATACGCAGATCTTTGGGCCGCCAAGCGCGTGTCGCTCGTGTGGACAGCGCGTGCAAAGCTTGCCAGCAACTGTACCTTTTTTTTTTCTTTTTTTTTTTACGGTCTTGAGTTTTTGTGAATTGGGCAGCGGGGTCATATTCGCGACCATTAAATTTCGCGATTTCTAAAAACTGGAATTAGCAATAGAAATATTCGCGCCCATTAAAGTTCGCGAATTGTACAATTCGCGAAGTTTGCGGAAATTAGGGACCCGTGAACATTAAGGGGTTTATATTATATTCCCTAGCACTGACACCAGTCGTGACGTATTTTCCTGGCTTTTTTTTTTTTTCTTTTTTTTTTTGAAAATAGCAAGAGTGCGCGTGCATAGCTTTGATTGGCGCTGAAGATACGCGAGAGCGGAGATTCCAAAAACTCTGTATATGACGTCACGCCCCTGGAAAAAAAAGGCCCCAACAATACTTAAAAAAAAAAATTAGATATTTGTGATCCTGGAGGCCACATGAAAACTATTTAAGTTTTTTTGGTTTTTTTTTTCAAATGCAGAACAGCTTTAGTTGTTTTTTGCCATTCCAATGGTTTTCAAAAAGTTTAACATGCGTTAACGACTCAAGTGTGAATTAGCGATTTCCCTCACAATGCCCCTGCAGAAGGAGATTCTAGCGGCTACGCCACTTTTATAAGGGAGCGCGTTGGCGTGGTCCAGGTGAAGGCGGCCGTGCACGCCACGCTGTTCGTGGGCCTGACGGCGGGCGTCCTGCTGGTCTTCCTCTGGCAAGAGACCGTGGGCGGCCACAGCGTCGCCTTCATCGCGCTCGCCTTCTTCCTCTCCATGGTGGACTGCACCAGCTCCGTGCTCTACATGCCCTTCATGGCGCGATACCCGCAGCAGTTCCTCTTCTGGTAAGTATACAGACAATCTGAAACGATATATAGGCTCCTGTGGAGAGGAGGGCTGCACATAAAACAAGATCTTTGTTCTTTAGGGCACTCTTGGAATCGGTGCTCTTCTTGGAGATCCGTAACTACGGATTCCTGATGCTCTTGTACTACGATATGTGCGAAAGTTTCTAAAAAAAAAGTGAAAGCCGTTTACAACTCCCTGTAACGCCGAATTAGAGCACAGCTCTTGAGGAGGAGGAGAAAAGGGTACTGAGGAGGGGGGGGGGGGGGGTCACGTGACCCCCCCTCCCCGAGGTCCTCCCGAAGGAACCCGAGGTCCTCCCGAGGTCCTGTACCTGTCTTTTTTTATTTTTTTTTATGGAATAATTAATTTTTTCTTGGCAGCTATGTTCGTGTGTTAATATGACCTTCTTTATTGTATAAATTTTTGGTTTTTAATATATTATACGTAAATATTCCTTTAGGTACATGGTTGGCGAAGGCCTAAGCGGACTAGTGCCCGCAGGCCTGGCACTAGCTCAGGGCGTGGACAACAAAGCTGATAATGAGACGACGACTAACGCAACGCACGGCAATGCCACCCACGCCGGAGGCACCGTGGGACCTCGTTTCAGCATCGAAGTCTTCCTCAGTCTGCTCTGCGTCATCGTCGCCATCAGCTGGGCTGCCTTCTCTGTTCTCGCACACCTCCCAGCGCTCGTCGCTTACCAGGTGAGCGGAAGCTCAGTCGAAAAAAACATAATTTTGTTTCTCTGTTTTATGGGATGTAGCGGTACTCGCAGGTAAGCAGAATACGAACTGTACAACAAAAAAAAAATGTTCGGAACTTTGTAACATATTCACTCCGGGTTCCCATCGGTCTCTTGAAGGACGGCATAAACTTTTTCATCGTATAGCGCAGATAATTTTTTGTGCGAATAGACCCTTCTTCGTATAGAGCATCGCATAACATAAAATGAAAGTCAACGAGAGCTACGCAGGCAACCCTCCAGCAAAGGAGAGCGTGACTAAAACTTTTGAAGGTTCGCTAAACTGAGGGTGCCAGGTTCCACGACGGTTCGTCGTTAGTATGAAAAATGTTGACTACTGACTACTGAAGCTGAAACATTTTTAATTCAAAAGACACTATGTGACCGACCGCCGAATCGAAGTGTTGGAAACATCTTGTCTACGAAAATTTTCCAGCAATTTTAACGATTGAAAATAACCTGCATCCTGCGTATTTTGAAACTGCTGTCTATATTCGTTACGACTCCTTAATCCTCGAACATCGTAGCGCTCTGGCGGCATCGACTATTCATGGCCGCGAGGCAGAAGGCCCCTCATCACAGGGCAGGGGGAGCACCTGGTACAACACCAAAACGAGCCATAAAAGAAAGAAAAAAAAAAAAAAAGATAGAATACAGACACAGAAAGGCAATTTTGTAGTCCTATTTCCGAGATGTCTTAGTTTAACTTTATGAACATTTAGGTTCCGCTAAGGCGTTTCGGCACTCTAGTTGACAACGAATTGCGAGCTAAATTTCCAGACGACCTTTTCTTGGGCCGGATACATGCTGAACAGAACTGTAGTCGGTTGTTGCGGGTTAGGAAGAGCAAAACAAACCCCTCCCACAAAGCTTTTCGCTTCTCATTATTGGTGGTATTTTCCTTCCTCTCGCCTCCTCTCCAGCATTGGCTCTCCTAAAGTGTCAAGAGTGGAGGGCTTCTGTGGAGGGAGCTTGTCCTGCTATTCTAAATCTACAACAATCACCAACGTCGCGTGCAGACGCATTTCGTGCAACAAGCATCCTCTGAGTCATGCCGTTGTTTCTCGTGCTCTCTCGAAGTTCAGATCCCGGGCCAAACGTTGAAGAAGAAAAAGGAACCGAGTCTCAAGTACGGGTCCAACGACAATCGCGGCTACGTTCCCGAAGATGGGACGGACCATGTCGTGCCGCAGGTTCTACAGCAGCCCAACGGACTCGAACGAGCCGGCCCGAGCGATGATCCAGGCAAGGGCGATGATCTCATGAAGCGCTGGCAATGGAACCTCGCACTCGCCATGCAGTCCACCATTGCCGCCCTGAGCAACGGAGTCCTGCTCGCTGTACAGGTGGGCGCCTAAAGGGTTGTTCTGTCCGCAGGGGCGTCGGAACTATTCGGGAGATGGGGCAGCGACGGTTGAAGCAGTCTATAGCCTTGCCTACAGAGCAGCGGCTCTCATAACGGGCTGCGCAGTGTTGCGGGACAGCAGGAACGATCTTCGAGAACTCCCGGGTTCATGTTAACGAGGTCCATTTTAAAGATACGTGACTGTGTCGCTTCCCACCGCGCAGACGTACTCCAGCCTTCCGTACGGCCAACTCCCGTACCATCTTGCCACCAACCTGGCGACCATCGCCAACCCGCTGTCGTGTGCCGTGGCCGGACTGCTCCCGGTCCGAAGCCTGTGGGCTCTCGTCCTGTTCACCCTGGGGGGACTCGTCTGCGCCGGCTACATCCTCTTCCTGGCCGTCGAAAGCCCCGAACCGATCCTCGTCGGCACCGTCACCGGGGCAGCTCTCATGGTACGAGACCATTTGAGCGATCGTCTTCTGCGCGATGCCATCTGTGTCTGATGAACTGTGAAGGCTTTCTGAGCATGAGCAGCGGCTGTCTTTATTATACAGACGCCCCGCATGCGCTGCAAAGGTAACCAAAATACCGCGTTGGTCTTTTGCTAACAAAGTTGCGCTGTTCTGTTTTGGTGGACATAACGGCAGAGTGTCGAACCGAAATTTTTATCGGTCCGGTTCGAGTTGGGGTTCACGGCTTTTGGTTCAGTTCCGTATGTTCCAGGAAGCAAAAATAACGGTTCGAACCGGTTGAGCCGCTAAATTGAGAATGTATTTTCCGCGTTGTTTTGTCAGTATACACTATTTCCACCGGAAACGAGTAACTATATATATTTTTTATCATTCGTACAATCCACTTTTATTTTCAGGTGCCAAAAATAAGCAATTTCGCTATTTAATTTTGACGAAACAGTAAAAGAAAAGCTAGATTAATGTACAAGACGTCGTGTCCATATGACTCAATATCTAATTGTTTGCATGTATTTCGCCTGAATCGAAAGGTTAGCCCGAAGTCTGGTACGTCGCCTAAAACACCCGAGATTGGTACAACTTTACGTCGCCGGATTAAAAGTTGAATCCTAGTGCTCTTGAACTTAGGAATTACAGTACATGAAATCCTAGAATGGGGCACCTCCTCGCCATATATATCGTGAAATCTAGTTTATGAAATACGTATTACAATATATATGATGACGAGGCAACTGAGCTAAAAGCAATAATATTTTCAAAATGTCACGAAAGTTTTAGGACGAGCCCTTTCGTTTACCTTTTATAGAAACACTGACCGGCATTCACAACGCTTTTTTTTTCCTGACATATTGTTTACACTCAGCACCGTGACGCAGGCGAATAATCGTGCAGAAAAGAGTGATTAAAATTTTTCTCTCTAATATGTATGCACCTTTCTTACTCAGATCGAATCTTAATAAATATAACGCGTACCCCAGTGAACATTTTCGGCACAGCCTGACTGTTGAGGTTTGTTCTTCATAATGCAGGTAAATTTATTTTGCAAATAAACATCACCCTTGCTAATTTCTGATTTTTTTTCTTCAATAAAACAAAGTAGTACCTCATGCTCTACTCGACACTTCCTGACGGTCCGCGTGCGCAATCGTCATAGTTCCAGTCTGTACTTTGTTTTTGTTTAGCCCACAGACACATACAATTGTTGTTCATCACATAAAAGAGGCAATAACAGACTTCTACATGTTTGAGAAGTTAAATATGTGTAAGGAACAGATAATTATTTAAATCACTATATAGACGTGGCTATCGAGGATAAAAACGCCAAAAAAGATTTACAGAGCATACTTGAGATAATTTGGCTATATATTTACTTATGATGTACCGTATTTTCCGGGCTATATATGTTTTCCATACTATACACGTTTAAAGATGAAATTTCTGGCTGTGCGGACCATCTACGCGTGGGGACTATACAATAATTTTGTTTTTCAAGATCGTTCAGTATGACGAGACGTGACGGATTTTGTAAATGAAAGAGTATGTTTTTGACGATTTATGTATAATACGCATAGTATACAAGATTCTTCGTGAGCTAAAAAAGCAAACATTTTTCAAGGCTTTTCGTGTCGAAGCACCAGGGGCGGACTATGCAAGGCGTGCGGCCTATGCAACAAAAACAAACTATCTAAGCAAAAACAAAAAAAAATATTTCCAGTTTAAATAGGCCCTTGCGGACTAAAGCCCGGAAAATACGGCATATCTTTAAGGCGGTCGGCCTTTGTTATGTTGTCAAGTCTTCGGTCAGCAATTAAATATATTTTCATTATGGTCAATAAATTTGAATGTATGAGGTTCACATAACCGCTTGAGACCGACACGGGAAAACGATACTCGAAAATACGCCAGCTGTTGGGTCTGCAGAATCGTGCTTTTTTGTTCTCTGTTTGACAGTGTGAAACACCGGATCGCGGAGAATGCCAAAAAAGGACTGTGTGCTCACATAATAGATCTGAAGGCAAATACACGAAATGTGCCGAAAGAGGGGTAATAAATGGTATTCTCCTAAATAATCCCACGTGCAACGGCTTACTGCAAAAAAAAAGAAATACATAGAGATGATTGCCATAATATTCCTAATTACACATAAACATCGCGAAGGAGAGAATATAGCATAGCTGTAAACCCGAGACTGGGGATAAGGACAAGGGACAAAACACAAAACGACACGGACGAAGTCTCAACCGGTTATATAAATCACATTTGGACATCGGCTTTCACGAACTCGAAACTTCTCAAAATACTGTCTCGGGAGGCTAATATTACATTCGGTTTTACGTGCACCCGTTTTGGGCCCTCACTTTACAACTCTGCTTTATCAGTCATGCGCGCTCATTTGATTAGGCTACCGCATATCATCGCGAGACTGTTATACATACTGCGCAACTTTATAATTTGGATATACCCTTTTGCTAGTGTTGAGCACATCGCATTTCACCAGAAAACTGAACTGTTTACCATGGTTTGCACTCGACGTCATCGCACAATGTACTAATGGTCTGCGATTTGTTCTCGCTGAGAAAATCAAATCGGGTGCTGCAAAATGCACGCTGCAGAAGATTCGCGCACAGTGCAAGTTATATCTTCGAAAGAGACAAATTATTCTCGCTTAGGTAGGTGCGGCCCATATGCCACGGGCCATATGCCACGGGCACTCCCGAGTCCCAACTCGTGTGGCCGCACCGACGTTGGGCAATCGGGACGCTGCCTGAACAATAGGCTCCGTGAGCACAGGTAGTCTCTCGAAGCCACAGTGCACTTCCACAGTGGCGGAAACAATTGCATTACTCAGTGTCGGAGGCTTTGTCTAGTAAGGAGCTAGAATTCCTGAAACTGACAAGGAAGGTACAGCCCGTGCACTAATGCACGGGCTGGACTAATGCACTAATATCATGAGTAGAAGATGAGCGTGTGAAGGTGTGAATCAGTGTGCGTTTTCTTTCTCCTTGTCTATCAGTAAAAAATACATAGTTGCGAGTGAGCGCTCTGTTCTGTCCGGTATTGTCGCTTCCTTTTGTACCTTTTTTCCGCTGTTTTCTCTCATTATGTTTAACCGATAGTACTAGTAGTAGTAGTGCTCGGTGAAATAAAATAAAAACCGCGTATCATCATTTGTCCCACGAACTTGTTATTAAATGCCCGAAAACTGATCGCTCAACCTGCCGACCCGGGGGACTCAGACACGCTAAATTTTGCCTTTTGCCTTTGCCATAAAAACTGAACAGCCGCTGAAGCCCCGATAACGGTTGAGCTTTCTTCCGGTAGATAGCGGGGCATGCCTTGTACGTAAGCCACGCCCTCGTCTGGCCTCTTTCATATCCCTAAACTGGTGAACCACAAAGTTGGAGCCGAAAGTTCGCGGACGGCGCCGATTGGACATCGGCGAAAAAAAAAACGCGAAATCATCGTCGTAATAGGCCAATCAGTGCGCTCCCTCAACTTCGGCCCCAACTTTGTGTGTAAAATACAAGCTGCCTCGGCGTCCCCGTGGCAAAAGCGTCGGCACACGATTCCCCGGTTGGCGGGGATTCGGTCGCGCGCTGTAGATGAATCACGAGTCCTTCGCTGGGACGTGAGGTGACGGGTGCCCTTCGTTGGTTTGGCACGTAAAGCATCCAACAATTGACTCGACAGGTCTTGAGATTGTACCGAACGCGTCTCGTTTTCTCGCCCAGGTCTTGGCCTGGGTCGCCTTCGTGTCGCTGATGACGTTCGTGAAGAGCCGGCTGGCTGCGGGCATGATGTCCCACGGAGGGGCGCGGTCGCTCCTCTGGTACGGAGTGGCGACGCAGGGAGGTTCCTTCGTCGGCGCCCTCACCATGTTCTTCGTCACCAACTACACGCACGTGTTCAAGTCCGCCTGACCAGGAAGGCCACGACGCTCGACGTGACCAAAGGATGGACAGAATTGTGCGTCTTACTAGGATCTCAGTCAAGTGGACAACAGTCAACGATTCAGCCGTGCAACTTTTGTCAAGCGATGGAGTGTCAAATATGGCAATCGCTGATGGACTTAAACTGTTTACAAGCACCCGGCACGAGTGTGGGCATTGAACCACCTAGAAGAAAAGGCCTGCGCATCCCCAAACGTCCTCACTAGTAGAAGCGCCGCCTACCTCGAGTCCAGGAGTTCCCCTAGGATTTAAGAAGGGGGGGGTCTGAACTTCCGCAGTTTTGGGAGGGAGCGGGTTAGACACAAGGAGGCTTTTTTTATCTACTTCACTCTTTTTCAGCTGATTTTTTTTTTTCTGAGGGGAAAAGGGGGGGGGGGGGGGGGCAGATGTGCATACGTGGTGACCGAGAGTTTCTGGAATTCTAAATTCAGCATGGCAGTTTAAACATTTAATGAAGAAAGCGAAACGCAACGTGAGACAATATCAGCCACGGTACCAATACTATGGTAGCGCAATGAATGTCAATGACGAATATATATTCAACCGAAAAGGAGCCTGCCAGCACAGAAACGGTTTCAGTATTTCGAGGAATCGTCAGCGAAAGTCAAAGCTTTCTCTGCGATGCAAACACATATCTGAATAGGTTATCTCACGATATAAAAAAAAAGGCGACCAATATGAATAAATTGTAGTCGCGCCCTGTCTTCCTACGTAATAAAGAAGACAATACGGATATATGGTGTCTGGTACCACATTGATCAAATGTACTAAAAAAAGTCTGAGGTATTTCTTATTAATTGCAAATATGGCATATGCTCATGCGGTGCGCAAGTTCGTCTGGTTCTTTTGCAGGGGTTGTGGTTACAACAGAAAGACGCCGAGCCCTGATTGAAGGATAGTGGGTAGAGCTCAAATGAAGCTGCCTTGGGGTCTAAGCAGCGCGGAGAGGCGACAAAATGGCTCATACTCTGCTGCCACTGTCACTTTTGAGCCAGCGAGCTCAGGATTAGCAAAGATCACCTGGTGGATGTCACTAAAGGCCCGTTCACACTCTTGCGACCGAGTACGACTGAGAGAGACGAGATCTCTTAAAACTTGTTAAATGTTTTAGAATGAGGGAACACACTGGGCATTGTGGCGCCATCTATGCGGTGACCCTGGAACTGTGTTTCACAAGAGCGAAGGTTCTGCGGGATTTCCGAGGTCAAATCTGCGTAATACCCATAGAAAGGCTCGTTTATAACATTGACAAAAGTTTTTCGAGCCAAAGAAAGAAAGGATAATGCGCGAGAAATAAAAAAAATATGCCGGACAGGCCGAGTTTACACTGCGTCCCAATAGATGGCGCCAGTGTGTTCTCTGTCGCAAGAGTGTGAACGGGCCTTTAAGCCTCGTTTGTAATGCGTGTCTAGGAACCTTGACAGGTAGTGACGATGCCTGTCTCCCGCCAGCTCTCCGACCGCCCCACGAGAGAAATCACCGAAACTCTCTTTTGTGTGTCCCAGATGTCACTATTGTCCCTCTACAAGATAATAGAAGATTAACCCGTCACTCAAAATTCAAACAAAAGCAGCTTTGGGGTTAGTTGCGGCAGCCGGATCGCCGGCTTGTTTCGGCCGCTTCAGTGGCTGGAACGGCTAGGACATCCCAAGACAATCTATGTCACGGTTGCGGCGGATGTCGTGCGCTCTCTGCTGGCTGCTCTCCGAGCGCTTACCAGAGTGAGCTGTTTACAGTCGAGCCCGGTTATATCACATCCGGGTATTTCGAATTATTGCTTATATCGAACAGTCCAAACATCTCCTTGAAAATCACATGTAATAGTATAGGAGCGTTGTCTTTTTGTATCGAACTCGCATGGGCTCCCATGGCGGGGACACTGGATATAGGGAACGAAGCACGGCGGCCCTTCGCTTCTCCCCAGGTCAGATTGCGCCCGCGGAGCACAAGCTCGCGTTGCCGGGCTGGCAGACCGCCAAGCCAGCATACGCGCACGGGGATCACGGGGACTCAACAAAAAAGCAGTTATAAAAAAAAAAAAAGAGCAACGGAAAAAAAAGAAAAGTGGAGGATAGCAAAAGCAAAGGGAAGGGCACGCGCGCGCTTAGGGAGGGCAGGCGACCCGTTTTTCCCCGCGTTAGATTGCGGTGACCACGAACCGTACGGAGGTCACAGGACGTCCGTGAAAAATAAAAAGGAGGCAAACAACGATCTACTCTGTGCACGCTTCATCCCCGATTTCCACGACCCCAAGGCCGAAGGACGTTTGTGTGAAGGATAACGATAAAATAAAACTTTGCGTCAAAAAAAAAAAAGCCCGTTTTTAAAAGAAAAAAAAAGTAGAAACAAGCACAACGCTTTGACGGACCGCGAGGTTGTGCAACACCTCGCGGTCTGCTTGCCACAGGACGGTTGTCTTCGACCCATAGCTCCAATGTGAATTTGCCACTTGCGAAAACACGGAGACCTACCCAGCGAGAACCAGGAAAGCAAGACACGCACACTGACGCCTCGGCGTGCAGAATGAAACAGGATACGGGTGAGGAATACGGCCGCGGAAGAACACCTCGCACAGTGCCGATCCGGCCGATCTCCGAACGGACGATTTCGCATTTCGTGGACAGCGAGCGCCACCGCACGGGAGAGAGAGGTACCTTAAAAACGACGAAAACAAGCACCGACACCTTGGTTCTTTATATTTGCTGTAGTTACGGAACAAATCGACTTACATGAATAATTTGAATATTATTCGATTCCGTAATAAATTTAGAAGACATTAAGCGCAATACTTCTTATGTTTGAATTTAGATAATTTTGTAAATTCGCTCCGAACGCAAGAGTGCCGAATTAGCCGATTTTGACCATTTTCATGATTTTTTAAAGAATATAATTAAATTTATGATGAAACATTTGTTGCGCTTAGTGTCTCGATAATGACTCAATGTCTTTAAAGCCGAAAATTTCAAGAAGATCCGCGCAGCCGTTATTATGTGAGAACTTTTTTAATTTGGTGAAAAACCTCATGTATTCTCTATGGGGCTCTGAGGTGCGCCCCCTGTTAAACCTGGGTTCCTTAAAACTTGTTAAACCAGAAAACACACTGGCGCCATCTATTGGGAAGCAGTGTAAACTCGGCGGTCCGGCATATTTTTTTTTATTTCTCGAGAATTATCCTTTCTTTCTTGGCTCGAAAAACTTTTGACAATGTTATAAACGAGCCTTTCTATGGGTATTACGCACATTTGACCTCGAAAATCCCGCAAAACCTTCGCTCTTGTGAAATGCAGTTCCAGGGTCACCGCATAGATGGCGCCACAATGTCAGTATGTTCCCTCATTCTAAAAACATTTAAGAAGTTGTAAGAGATCTCGTCTCTCTCAGTCGTACTCGGTCGCAAGAGTGTGAACGGGCCTTTATCTTCGTTTACCTTTTTCTTTCGCCGCTTTTGCTTTGCGCGTTTTTTTTTTTGTTGTTTGTTTTATATTCGTGTATGTCGCTGGTGATGTGCGGAGGTCGCGCGCGCGTAAACGATCGCAAACATCGTGGCGTAAACGCGGCGGTGGTTGTGATCTTTACCAGTTAAGCTCTACGGTATTTAGCGACTCTTAGTGGCTCTATTTGGTAAGGTCCCGTTTGTCGCAGCCTTCGGTATTAGGAGAGAAGCGCGGAAATTTCAACTGGAGTTTAAGTTAACATATTTTTGTATATCAAATTATTGATATATCGAACTATTTTACGATCCCCTTTGAATTCGATATATCCGGGTTCGACTGTATAACTAAAAATACAGCCATCAGACTCAAAATGCTAACGTGCGATTGTCATTTGCAGAAATTCTGGAACAGTATTCAGCCTATTTCTGAACACAACGGGTATATTTCAAATTTCGCTGAAGTATTCCTTTAAACCGTGAAGTCATACCAAGGCATTGATTAGACGACAGGACACGCACCTCTCTGAGATCTGGGATGCTACGCTGGCGTACATTCCCAGATGCCGCACATGCGAGCCACATGTACCGCTATCGCGCGCATGCGCATGTTACGGGCCGTAGATAGAATCCAAGCTTCGCGTTTGTTACAAGTACCGACAACGAGCGGACCCGCGAGACACGTGCCACAATCGTTTAATGGCGCATTTGACGCTACTTGTATGACAAACATCAAGGAGCTTTAGAGGCACTCGCTGGGAGTGCCGCAGTCTTCATAACGTTCGCAAGACGAAGGAGCGAACTAAAGAGGCTGAAAGGAAGCTGCGACGTGCTGAGCATGACTGTGCTCGACCAAGACCGGCTAGATAGAAAGCCGTAGTGCTGAATTTTCCACGTCGTGCCTGCACCAGCTTGGTAGTACGTTAAGCAAGTGGCGCCATTACAAGGTCAGCGGCACCCGGTGCGGTGGTCCGCCGCGACACCGTTTTGCACTGCCCGACAGCTGCAACCCACTGAGATCTGCACCTGGGGCGGTCCGCCCGCCCCTAGTGACTCCACTGCGCTAAGCCCGTAAGCAAGAGCAGTACGCGTATTTGGCTTTGCTGATGCCTAGCGCACACTTAAGTCCCACAAGAAGAGTTGCGTTTGACTGCGTTGCATCGAGAAACGGCCTCGAGTCATGGGATCGCTCGGTCCTCGTGTATGAAAATTGGCAACCAATACATGCTGCACCTGACGTCATCCTGCCAGCTCTCCGGGCACCACCAGAGAAGAGGAAAAGGAGGAACTCCCCTCTTACCGGGACTCTCTTTTGTGTATCCCAGACGTCCGCTATTCTCCCTCTGGAAGATTATAGAAGACTAACCAGTCACTCAAAATTCGTACAAAAGCAGCCCTTTCTTTCTTTATGGTGGTGCGAAATGAATGATGTGACGTCAGTGCAAAGCATTTATAGGGAGTATGCTCTGGCAGCCATAGCTGTGTGCGCGACAGCTGAGCGCGTGCCGACGGCCAGTTTCCAGTTATTTTGCAACGTGCACTCCACACCATTAAGATTGCCGGTCTTAGCAGCCCATTAATTTATGCTCGTTCTCAGCATGCCCTCTAAACATCGCCCTCAAATACGGCGTCCAGTGAATACCGTCTATTTACCATTCCAATATTTACAAGTCCTCCGCCCAGCGTGCGATCTCATGGAGAATGCTCGAAATGTAGGACCACGCGCCGCACGCACTTGCCTTCCCCGTATAAAAGATTCGAAGTAAATGACGAAAATGAGGCGTTGGCGAACGCACGTGCAAGATGAGATTTGTTTTAGGCTTTTGGCTTAGTGCTTGGCTAATTTAGCAAAAGGTATATTGAAGGAGTAGCTTGGCGCGCGTCATACGAAGCATGGATGTCGATTCTGGCGGCTCGCAGTCACAACGCAGTCAAGTGCCACAGTGTGTATGGGCCTTGAGGCCCGCTTTCTGTCGAGGCTACCATTCCAGCGAGAAAGAAGGGCTAGAACACGCGGCCCAGACGTCACTCCGCTGTGGGAGCGCTGTTGTCGGTACAGCGCATGCGCAGATACGAATCTCGCTTCTGCTCACGAGCAGTGGGCGAACGTTGACTTGTTTGTGAACATGCTGCTTTGCATTCAAACTATGTCGCGCCCAAACCTGCGCTCCACAGGCACCAGTGAGGAGTTGACGGTCAAGGAAGCGCGATACTTTGGTGGCGGTTTCACCGCTTTGACCATCAACTGGTCACTTGGCTAATCTTCTTGTGATGTCGACTGTACATTACTTGTAACCATAAAATGCTCTTTTCCTACAAAAATAGATGTTTACTGTACACTTCAATATACAAACAATGAGAGAACCAAAGCTGCATACAGTTCAGCATTCATGTAAAAATACAATATATAAACATTGCAATGTTTTTTGTTTTTTTTTGTATCTTTTTTTTCTATCAAAAGCACAATTCACACCAAAACGATGATCTAGTGGGCAACCCAGATATAAAAGTTGCCTTTTGTTCGACGCTTGAGAAATTACGAAACCATTTTACCCACTAAGTTGCCAAGGGGGGGTTATGAGACTGCTAGTTCGACATGAGCATTTCTTGATGGAGGGTATTAGCATATAACAGCATGAGCATCACAGACGACGTAATTTAGAAAATAAAAGAACATCAATTATTCAATGTGGATAGCAGCTGTTTTTAAAATATGGGTGAAAAACTGCTCCTGTGTGCTACTCAAAGCCTCACCTTCATCTTCTGCAGCCAGTCCCAACTGTGAGATTCTTTCATCATACTTATCGGCCACCCCGGTGGCTCGGAGCGCCGGCCTAAAGACCCTCATTGCTGGGTTTAAATCTGGTCGAGGGGCCCGCAACTTGATAGACACCTCTTGAAGAGCTAGGGCACCATGTAACTGATATTGGTTGCATGTCAAAAAATTCACAGGAAGTCTAGATTAATCCTAAAGACCCTGCATCCGTGCGCCGACGCGCTTTGGTGATTTGGCACACAATCTTTCATTTTTAGCGGTACTTTTATCCTACTCAATTATGCATAGGTTCATGCGTAAGGCAGCAAGCGCAAGATATGTACCGTTATCACAAGATCATCGCAGGAGCAACAAAATGAACACAGTGATTCTGATCAACTGAAACTGCATGCACAGTCTGCTCCCACGTCCACAGCTCACAATGCTTCCATTCTCGAGATTGTTCATCTTCAAGATGGAACACGGAACACATAGCCTCTCTAACATAATGTTTCAAGTGGACTCAAAGTGCAGGCAACACAGTGAGAAAGTGGACGAAAACATATGGTACAAACTGTACAAATATGAATATCATATAAAATATACTCTACAAGAATTAATGTGATAGAGAGCTGCATTTAAGGTAAATTGGAAGAAGTAACAGGTAGATTAGGGATTATAGTAAAAAAAAAGACATTAGGAAATGCTTAGTTAAAAAAAAAATATATCCATCGTACAGAGTAAAAACAATCGCCCTAAGTGAGATAACCACTAAACATCCTCTTACTTCATTCAATATAATAATTGCAAAAGCACTGGTATTGCACCATCTGAATCGGAATCTTCAAACACCGAAACATATTAGGCACACCTGCCCTTCAATGGAATGATTCGGGATTCAAGCTCAACAACATCACAAATTCTGTCCAAGACACAGTCTAGCATATCAAAACTTGTTCATTTGCAAAAACTTCAAAACCAACACGAGTATGTTAAAATGACTATGGCTGCACAAGACAAACAGAAACAAAATGTGTATGACACCATGTGTAATTGCAAATATGCTTTGTTCACTCGTTAGCACACTCGGAATATTATAGCAAATTGCAATACAGAATTACATCAGAAGTATCTGTAATGCCTTGCTGAGTCGGAGGCAAAAAGCTCGCTCAATCGAGTGCCAGCCAAAAGGGAGAAAAACGCCGACCAAGATGCATTCGAAAATGCTAAGCCATGAAACTGCCACGATTCAACAGTAGATTCCCTATTGCTGAACTGCAGCAGTGTATTTCATGGCAGCACATTTCAACCTGCCTCTGAACAGTTTATCGTACACCCGTGGAATATTTACCGCTCCCGCCTTAACTTTGCTGCGCCATAGTTTTGCGAACGGCCCGATCAGCAAAATTTAAGGGGTACATTTTTAAAATGCGCTAGCATTTATTGCCTTGGTGCATGCGGCCGTTTTCGTTTAGATGACGTGGTTTGGACTGGACCGGTTCCGCCGCGGCCTCACATTTGGGGAACGTTAATGCAACGGAAAAGAGCAGAGAGGCTGAATTTCCCATGCCTTCTTATAAAAACCCCGCGCGAAATGCTCACGCATTTCTTCGAGAATAGGCGTGGTGGCAGCAACAGCAGCGGCGACTTTGGCCCTTTTTTTTTTTTTAACTGCAAGGCTCGAAATTTTCTTTAAATGAGCAAAACCTTCCTGGCTACGAACAGTATGTTCATCACAACTGATTGCAAAAACAATTAATACTGCAGACCCCAAGGTTAGTTGAGCAAGTATCAATGATAAAAAAGCCTCAACCAAACATCGTCACTTAAGGGTATAGACAGAACAGTATACAATCTGGCCCGAGGACAATATAGAGGCTCGATAGCTCTTGTCCACAAGTGAGAGTAAATGCGATGCTCGACGACTGGAATGTCGAATGAAGGCACAACCTTCCATCCCGGCCACTGAAACCAAAAGGCCAAGTAGCCATGGTTCCTAACAATCCAATGCACACTGCCCAACTAATAACAATACCCGCTTCCAGTACCGGTCAACCAAATGACTCGCCATCGAGTCTGGCACGATCAGGGAGCGGCCTTCGGCAAGTGCCAGTGCAGAAATCGCTTGACTGCCCGTCTCCATTGTTCAAAAACCGGCCGGTACGCCGCCAACCGCTCGGCCGAAGGCTCCGACTCGCTACCGTCCTGCCTCAGCTTCTTCAGTTCCTCCGTGCTCGACCAGATCCCTACGGAAGCAACGCAAACACGCTAATGTGCGACGCCGCACAAAAACCACTATTGGTAAGGTAGTTCCATAAGTCTTTATGGGACAGCCTGTTCACCCTTTGTGTGCCACGCCCAAGTATACGCACTCCCATGCAGGTTTCAGTTTCCATTAGCTCGCAACCTCTCCCAACTGGGCTGTCAATTTTATTTTTATGTGTAGAGCAATGCTTTGTCTCGTAATAACCCCTGTTGTTGGCATGTGGAAAGTTTTGTTTAGGAGACCTGTGTCTCGGTTTGCCCCTTCATTGTTCCAGAAAGGCTTATTTATGCTGTTCAACCTCGAGCTTTAAGGAGAACACTGATCTAGCAATTAGTAATGAGCTAATTTAGTAATAAGCTGAACAGTTCTGAATGGTGGTGTCACTAGGGTGAATGGCACCCAAGGCGGTGGCCCGCAGCCCAGAGCGCAGCACTTAGGCTAATCCGCCCCCCTTGTGACACCCCTGGTTCCGAATGAAAAGACGGTTAAAGTCACTCGAAAAGAATGACAGTTCACACTGAAAGAATAAAAACACAAAAAATATGCGAGGGACAGACACACACAGTTCTTTCAACGAGCAACTACATTTAAATGATGCCCATTACACTATGATGAACCACCTTGGATACGGAAAAAATTAAGTGAATACGAAAATACTAGAAGGTACTGGAAAAAGATAAAGAAAAAGGTAAAGATGGCAGAATTTAACTTCCTGAAAAGGAAGAAGACGAAGAAGAAACGGGAGATAATTTCTATGACAATTCTGGCGCTAGGAAATCCATCTCTGCTGTCGATAACAACAGTGAGAGCTCGGAAACATTGTTTGTGGCAGTTTTGATCTTAAAGGCTTCGATTATCTCGCCCATATTTGTCGTTGTGTGAGCCTAGCACAGTAGTGTTTGCATAGCTAGGAGAGCAATCTTGGCAGGTGCGGGCGTGAAAAGAATGACCCCATGGTACGGGGCAAAGGTGCCACTTTGCACATAACCGCATCTCAAAAAGTATAATATGAGAAAAATATTTTAAGTTGGAGGCATGCATACATCAATTAACTCTGAGGTTATAGATGAGTCTGTCTTTGATAAATAAATATACTTCATAAAGTATGCTACAGATTTTCTATGTGGGACTAAATTTTGTGCTTGACATGCTGAAAAAAAATATTGGCAATCAAAGGGTAAAGGCAAACAAAAAAACTAACAAACAAAAAAAAACAGCTTGTAACTTGCTTTTTGCAGCCACGAGTAGGAAATGTGATAATCGCCAATAACTTACTAGTATCAAATTTGTGTGACTTCACATTCTCTCCTATCCTCATCAGAAAGAATTTAGAAGAGAAAGAGTTCTCATGCAGTAAATATACTGCTGCAAATACCTCTTTTAATTATTTAGAACCATTCTGAAAAAATAATAAAATAAAAAAGCTTTTTTGGAAGCTTAGTGGAAAAAAAGGAATACACCGGGTGGTTCACCAACCTTTCTGTCAAAAACTATGCATTACACAAAAAAAAAAAAAAAAAAAAAAAAGATTGGTGTTGTATTAGTTATTCTGAGAGGTCAATGTAGGAGGCACATAGCTTTTATTAAAGATAATTAAAGGAGCTGTGCAACGATATTCAATTGGAATGTTTTTCTCTCTGCACGAGCTTACTGGCACACCTGGGACTCAAGGATACTCACACGTAACGCCACTGGCCAAGAAACTCCTTTGTTGCGGTGTAATTTCAAGGAAAAAAGCGATCATTTTCCTTCAATCTCTCCTTTGCAAAATTTGATGACGTAACTCGGGGATCGCAGTACACCCAAGTGACGATATTTGAATGCGGTTCATAGATTGGACCCGAGCATTGCGTGGGCACTCGACTTGGGCTCGTGACAATTGCTAGCTCGAGAAGCATTCGGGTTGTGACCCGTGTCCAATCGCTGCAACGACGACAACAGCCGAGCCATAACAATGTCTGGAACTCAGCGCGTGTAATGCACTTTGCCAACCTCAGCGCGTGGCTATGATCAACATTGGCGGCATATAATCGGGTCCAGATCACGTGGCCGCTTGTTCTGGCTGCGAGTTGAGGGGGTGAACGCTGCTCGTTTTTCTTAATTTTTTTTCTGGGACTTCTATTGCGTGGGGTGAAAAACGAACGCGTGTTTCATAGGTCATTAACGTTAGGGATCCCTCTTAAGCGGTATTTGTGCACAGTGCAAAAATTGTTGCATCGCTCCTTTAAGTTATCAATTAGTTTTGCATAATCAAGCTTTTGATTAATAAAACGACATATGGTTCCAGTTACATATATCCCGAGCATCATCGAAAACCACTAAGCTAGTAAATTTTAGAAAGACTTGGCATATGTGAGAAGTGTGGCAGTGCACAAAAGTCACCGCACGTGCTACAGGCACAGGGCTCATGGAGCAAAACTGCGATGACAAGAAACAAAGATAGCGAAGATGTGTCGAATTCTTATATTTACGGGGACCTAGAAAAACGAAGCTCACACTCCAAGTCTTCCTAAAACTGAATGACTTAGTAGTTTTCAATAATGCCCAGAAAGTTTCTAGGTAATTGAAACCCCGTCTCTTTTTAGTCATTACGATGTTAATTACCATAAAATACCGGGCAAGCGCCCACTCAAAATTTCGAGGTAATCACAAAAAAATGGGAGATGGGTGCACTTGTCTGGTCATCAATTTTTACATATAAACATACCGCGCATATTTTCTCAGACTTTTACAATTTGGGAATGGGCACTTAGCGTAGAATGGGTGGATGTGCTGTATTCTAAGGTATGCACAAATGATTAAAAGCTTCATTATCTTAAATGCTATGTGCCTCAATACACTAATCTCTCAATGAAGTTTTAGCACAAAATTTTTTGCTAACGTGCGTTGTAGCGCCGTACTACATGCCGGCGGCTGCATTCTCACCCAAGGCCAGCCCCGCCAGAAAAGCTGCCCCCAAGGCACTTGTGTCGTGGTGTTTGGCACGCACGAGCGGGCGCTCCAGCATGTCTGCCAACAGCTGCAGCAAGAAGTCGTTCTTGGCAACGCCGCCGTTGAACCTGCGGCACAAAACGCACCGTCGTCGGCTCCGTTCGAACGTGGCCAATCCCTTGCGGCCTGATTGTAAAGCTCGGATTAAGGGGTCTCCAAACTTTGTGGTCTTCAGGAACTGCCAGCCCCCTTAAAACGTCGGGCAATTCATGGGAAGAAACGAGTGGATCTTAATCCTACGGATAAACTCGAGATACACGGAATGTGCGGCATGTTTCGAGCTGTGCTGGGTTAGTGGGGCACGGACATAGCAACGCCACAATTACGTATGACTTCACATCACAATGACACTACAACCAACCACGTGGCCATGTCATGTGTCAGGCATCGAAGCAGTAAAGTCGGGTATCCAAGCGGTGAAACCTTTCCAAAGAAATAGACTTCACTATAAAGGGATTCTATAGTAAAACTATGAATACAGCAAAGTTGTGGCATGCCTGTCACACTGCGCACACCTCATTTTGGTTGGGGCGACGTAAACCTCCGTGGCCATCATCTCGTAAACCTGCTTGGCCTGGAAGGCCAGCGACTCGAGGATGGCCCTGACCAGGTGGCCCCTCCTGGTGCTGGGGGTAATCCCCAGGAAGCCGGAGGCGGCATAGGCATCATTTACTGGAGCCTGCACAGCAGCACAGACATGTGTCACGCTCTGTCATACCACTTCAAAATATGATGCACCATATACCGTAAAATACCGGTCAAGCGCCCACTCAAACTTTGGAGATAATCGCAAAAAAATGGGGGATGGGCGCTTGTCCGGTCATCAATTTTACATATAAATCTACTGTGCGTATTTTCTCAGATCTCACAAATTTGGTAATGGGCGCTTAATGTGGAGTGGGCGGATGCACGGTATTTTACGGTATATGCCGGTTTGCATCTGATCAAGACAGTTGGGAATTCTGATTTTTAAGAAGGTTTGTGAGTTGCCAGCTTCAAAGGCATTCTCTATGCTATGATTCTCTTGCCTCAGGGTAACTCAACCAAGGCAGGCGATCCTTCAATAAGAGTAAATACATGTTTTCACTCATTCATCATTCATTTTGTCAAGTCACATAACTTTTAAGCAAACAAAGTGATATTTTTCAACTTTGTTTTGTTGAAAAGTAAAGGTTGTGATAAAGCTTTTCGTAAATAGGAAGAGAGGGATCTCTCAAAGCTTTATATCTTTTCGAGAATGCTGAATACTCCTCTGAATATTAAAATTTGCACGAGTTTCGACCTTTCTAACGAAAAACCTGTTTTTCTTATCCTTTTATTAACACAATATATTGATTCATAAGCTGTGCAATTTTAAAATTTGAAGAAAGACATTTCTTAATGTTTTTACAGGGAGCTTGGAACAATACATTTCAGTCTATTTTACTATAAAAAAAACATAGGCATCTCTCACCTATTTTTTTTTTTTCTTTTCTGTATGTGTGCAGCTCTGATAAATCAAGCTGGTAAAAAGACTTCAACAAATTTAAGAACATTGTAGGTGCAGAATCCTTGCCACCTCATTCCTTGAATCTACAACTGTATAAATAATATATAAAATAGCGTATCTATTGGCAACCCCAATCCATTTAACTAAGGCCCTAGAGAATCGTTTGGTTCAATTCAATATCACTACCAAGACGAAGGATGTGATGAACACCTTGTGCCGTACTCAGTTTTTAAATCCCAGTACTGAAAACCGACTAAGACGCATGAAGCACACTTTCTATACCTGAAGGCCGCTGAATGCCGGCACGAAAAAGACGCCATTGGAGCCTGTAAAAGGAGAAAAACCACGGTAGTGCAATACCGAATTAGCTGCAACAAAACTTCCTCCAGACCACAATTCGCGCAGTACGCACAAGGCCATAACATGTCTTCAAAAAAGACGGGATTCCAGATTATTTAAAATAGATAATAAGCCTATCATAGTTGTTTCAGTGAAACTACCGCCAGATTGGTTGATTGGTGAGCAAAAGCAATAATGCATCACAGTTCTCTAGTTAAGGAGTGATAGACAGCCCATGCCCCAGAACTCACAAACGGCAAATTTCAATCCCACTCTTGCTGGCTTCGATATGGACAAGCATTGGACTGATGTGCAATTACATAATGACCGCTGCATAATGTGGGCCCAATACCCCCAGGTTATAGCCGGTGACAGCTTAGAAATGCAGCGTGGCGAGTCTCACGCATTCGATTATCGCCTCACAGCCAATGAAATTGCGGCATTAGCCATAAAGAATGGCGACGAATGAATCACGAAGCGAGAGGTGTGAACTTAATAAGTCGTTGCTCTCTCGTTGGAGATGCAGGCTGCCAGATTTCAGAGCCAGACTAACTTTACACTATCTAAACCTCCCTGCAACCATTTTGACCAGCAAGATCTTCAATATATGGGGTGTTTTATTTTTAAGCTTTACAGATTTGTTTAAAGAAAGTCATGCAAGCTACACTTATGCAGTTTGTGCAGGCGAGTTGTGTGGCCAGGGGGACAGAGTATAGGGGGCTAATTATAATGATCAGTCGGCTAATTAAGTAAAATTTATTAATTAACTTTTTAATTAGTGAAAATAGGCACATGGTTCCAATTAGAAACTTGCTGAGCATCATTGAAAATTACTACGGTAAATCAGTCAATTTGAGAACGTCTTTGAGCTCATCAGAAGCGCAGTAGTGCGCTAAAGTTGCCACTCGTGAAGCAGGAGCATGCAAGGCTACTGGAGCGATATAGCGCCCGCACAATTTTTCCGTCACTTATCACAGCCCCAGCCTTGTACCTGCTCCACAAGTGGTACCTTTAGCGCACTACAATGCTTCCCATGCACTCAGTATTTCTCAAAGTTATTGATTTAGTAGTTGTGGATGACACTCAGCAAGTTACTAATCAGAACCATTTGTCTATTTTCATAAATTAAAAAGTTAATTAACAAAATTTACTTAATCAGCCGACTGATTATTACGATTAGCCCCATATACTATGTCCCCTCGGCCGTATAATTCAAATGCATATACCGTACATGTCTAGCTTTCACGGCATCTTCTAAACAAATCTGTAAGGTTAAAAAAGAAAAAAAAAAAATGGTATACCATAAAGGTTAATTACAAAAAGAAGCATTTCTTTCTAATAGTTTTAAGCTACTTTTTAGATAACCCTGCAGAAAAGCTTCCTTGCAAAGAAGCTGGCTCAGAGGGTCAGAGGAGCTGCATGCAGCGAGAAGATATGCTTACTTGGAACAGAAGTTGCCAGAGTGCTGCTCTCCATGGGCTCCTTCAAAAGACCTGCAGACCAGAGCCGGATCAAAGAAAGCCACCAAAACAAAATCAGCAACACTCTCTGGGACTTGTGTCACTACCGGCCTCCAATACCCTCCTTATTTTGTATGGAATGGCTGTGGATAAATTTCTTTTTCGAGACTACCCGATAGTATGCCGCTTCAGCAAGCTCCAAAAGCTAGAAACTATGCTAGGTGCGTGACAAAATTAATCGCAGGTTTGCTAATTCTCCTGAACCACCCTGATTCGTGCTATTTTTGTGGGGTCACAGTGACTTCGTAAGTGTGACGTCATGGGTCCAAACAAACCGTTGCTAGGGTCATTGTTATGGACAAATACATGTGGCTAGGTTTCGCTACCAAAGCCCCGACTGTTCAAAAATCAAGAGTAGGATTTAAACAAAATCAGGGATATAGAAAGCTTGAATGTCATATATGTTTCGACAGAAGTGTGCCAGTAATCGCTTGTTTCTGAAATATTTACGACTGCAACTTCCGGTCCTCAAGATGCCTGCAGCAGACGACGAATGCAAGAAGTATGCCGCCTGCCACACGCCGGCAGGCCAAGCCGGCGCCGGCGTTTGAATTGTGTGAATATGGACAATATTCTGATATTGCGTTTGTTCTAAATATAATGATTTTTAGTAAATTAAAAGAATTCATAGTGGGGTGTGATGCAAAATATGGTTTATCGAAAGTCCGGGCGTCGATCGTCTCGATCTCACAGGTATTGGACCCGTGAGAAAAGCCCTTCAGGCGATCGGTCGAGATCCCAAATTTTGTTTGTGGACTCGCGCTATGTGAGGGTGCGTCATACCTGGTTGTAACCATCGCTGCAATGGTTACTGAAAAATCACGATAGACATGGAATTCTTTAATAACCTGACAACCTCAATAATAATAATAATAATAATAATAATAATAATAATAATAAACAAATTACCTTGACAGCGTACGATTTATTTCTCATAGTGGCCTGCACTACGCCGGTAATGCACTTCAGGTCGTCGTCGTAAATGATCTGCATGACGTGGTTTGATCTTACGGCATTTTCACCCCTCTGAACTAAGCTGGGTTCTTCGCAGAAAAAAATGCACATTGCAGAGGCCTCTACGGCCACGGCAATGCACTCGCTTGTTTACCGACACAATTCAATAAAGACGCCTGCTGCAACAGAGGCCAGCAAATTTATTGTGTCGTCTGCTACCAAAGCAAAGCGGAGTGTAATACTTCAGAAATGGCTTTCATTGTTGCAATACGACACTGAGACGACAAGAACATCTTCATAATTAGATATTAAGAAGTTAGGTTGCTTACAAAAAATTATTTACTTAATTGTAAGCAAAAATCTAGCCTCATGTGGAGTCTCCATGCATTAGTCCATAGCAATGTCCCTAGCAACGGTTTGTTTGGACCCAGACGCCATGTTGTGACGTCATCACTTACAAGGTCAATTCCCCCGCCGATTTCCCGCATACTATTCTGTTGGCATAGAGCCCAGCAATAGCATAAGTGGTTACATGTCATCAACCTGGGTCAGTGCTGCAGAATGTGAACAAACAAGAAATACATTGAGCATGCTCCTGGTTTATTTCTAGTGCTGTAGCCTCACTCTGCAACCGTACCTTGTTCAATCGAAACTGAATGGATAAGCTTTCGTTTTCTGACGGTTCACTCCAGTAATGCACTCACCTAGCTCTTCAGCCCAGGTAATGGCGGTCCCAGTGTCGTAGCTGCTCCCTTCGGCCAGGTAGGTAACAACGTCGTTAATCTTCCAGCCAACAACCGGATAGATGCCTTTCCAAAGAAAAGATTTCCTCTTAGCTGACAAGTCAGAGCAGCTGTTAAATCTCCCACCCTCAGCCTGATAAAACATGAAGTTTCAGCCTGTAACACCACCCAAATCAAAAGTTACGAGCACTTTTTTTTTAAATTTGTTTTCCATGCCCACAAGACATTATCTCGCCATTAGAAACTTCCAAAGACCACTTCTAACTCGTAAGATCGCCAAATAATTCAGGTGAGACTTTAGTGGATTTTGCTGTATCGCAGTACTGCTTAGAAAGCATACTGTCGTGCAGCATTGTGTCGTCAGTACTGCCTCCCCTCTACTGCTAAATAAGCGAAACCAATGAAAACCTTGTACAGTTTTAACCACCGAGCTGGCTGCATTGAACTGAATCTTTGAACAATCGGTCGCCGGTTGACACGCTTGTGTAATGATCATATCTCGTCACGATCATTGACACACAGCACGGAGTTCCCTTTTGGCACACAGACCATTTTATGACCTATCTCCACAGAAACCAAATAGTACCTGAGGTGGAAGCGTAGGGAACGCCGCCGGTGTTGACGTTGAAGAAAGTTCCGGTGCCCATGGTGCACTTGATGTCGCCCTCGTCGAAGCAGCAGTCGCCGAAAGAGGAAGCCTGCTGGTCTCCAATCTGTCGAGAACCCCAACACTGTAGACTACTTTCCGAGGACGGAGGCGACGGTAACAGCTGAGATAACGAAAGAGTTCCGCGACTTTACAACTTGTATTTAACTCCATTAAAAAATTAGACGAGATAGGTTAGGAAAAGTCATTACATGAGCCAGAAACGTACAAGTGCATGGTCCACCCTTGCGAAGAGCATACTTTAGCCAGGCAACAAAGTTGACGGGTTAATACAACTTCGAAATATCTATGTTCTTATTAGTGTACAAAAACACAATTTCCTAATTTCTTAATCAAACGTTGATAAATCAAGGGCCTAAGTAACGTGGTCCAGCCAGTCTCTATCATTCTAACCAATTTGCTTACCATGCATGCAATTGGAATGGCAGCGCCTAGGATTTTTGAGTCAGCATGTCCGAAAATACCGCTAAAACAAGAGAGACAAAACAAAAGGGTTCGTAAGAGTCGCCCAATTAGCGAATTTGCTTGTACTTTTCCTAACGAGACTAAGACTTAACTATTATTATGTTTCAAATACTTCGATCACACTGTGCAAGATACAGGAAAAAAAGCTTGAGGAACGTCTTATCATCCCATTAACAGAATAACTTGTTATTCAAACTTATTCCAACAGTAGTTCTAAGATATAGTCATGTCTCGTTTACATGGACCCCTTATTATGGATACCCCACTACGTGGACACCACTTTAGAGCACAAACTGGGAAAATACATGCATTTTACCTTGTTATTATAAACAACTCACACTATGAACGATTTTTGGGGGGAAAGGAGGTGTCCGCATTAACGAGACATCATTGTAAATGGAACATGACAGTATTTTCATGAAATTAACTTTAAAGTGTTCCTTTCTAAGAAACCATTCTCTTAGTAGCGCGATAAGAAGTAATATCTTGCGACAATCACCTGCCTTGTATTCAAAACACGAGGGAGCAATGAAGTCGGTATGCCCAACATGTCTATGATGAGTTGTGACCACTCCATCTGTAACAAATCAATGAACTTTAACTCAAAACAAGCATTCACACGTGTGGGGAGATTCAAAACTTTGTATAATTGTCATATATTCTGAACTATTGATTCGATATGGAGCACACTTTGACTGTTTAAAGTATTTAAGGTTTTCGAATATAAGAAAATGAATAGTATTGTCTTAAAAATTCCCCGACTCGTCACGCTAAGTTGCACTGCTTTGCATAAACGCTCTGGTGTCAAGCTTCACTGCATCGCACCAGCGCAGGCGTCAAGCTTTACCGCTTCGCACCAGTGCGCGCGAATCAAGCTTTGCTGCTTTGCACCGCCCTGTTAGGAAAAACGGCTGATGAGTCGATTCCAATGCACACTTTTACTTTCAAAGTGTTTAGAGTTTTTCAAATAATCAGAAATTACTAGTAACGTCCTCAGAATTCCTCGATTTCTCGTGTCACGTTTCCCTACTTCGTACCCGCGCTCTGGTGTGAAGTTTAACTGCTTCACCCTGGCACACGTGCAGCACCATTGCTTTGCACCGGTGTGCTCGATGTGCTGGGAGAAACAGCTGAAGTGTCGGAGCATCTTGGCTGGCTCAATGGGCACAGAAAGTGTGCCCATTATTGTAGGTCAGTCTTCTTGGGTTATGATCATAGTAGTTTGACGCCTAACCTTAAAGAATACTGCCGGAAAAGAAAAGATCGAGCTACATTAAAATAAATAAGGAAGTCACTGCTTTGTGATCGCCTGGATTGCCCAGCATTGGCCTTTTCTCCATCTCATTCAGCACTACCGCTTTGTTCTCTAGGAGGTGTTGCGCCATGGCGTGGTGGAATGCGGGCATGCTCAGTTGCCGCTCTGCCGTCGCCGGTTGTTCTTCACTTTGAGTTTCCGTAGTGATGTGTATGTGTGTGTAGTTAAAAGGATGGGTGCTGTTCACTCCATGAGTGATATGGACGCGGTTCCTTCTACGAGTGATATGGATGTGGTTCTTTCCACGAGTGATATCGATGACCGTATCCAAGTGCGTCGCCATACTCTGACAGGCAGAGTACAGAAAAGGAGGCGAAAAATATTACAGAAAGATCCATTGGTGGATTCTTAGACCCTTGGGAAACGCCACACATGTTCCCTTTTGGGAAATGCTAACGCTGACCCCAGTAACGAGGCCGAAAAGAGGAAACAAAAAATAGAAGAAGCAAAAGAGAAAGCCAGAAGAGAAAAGTGAAGGGGTCGGTGTTAGCATTTCCCAAACGGGGACACATGTGGCGCTTCGAAGGGTCATGCTAATGCATTCTCTAAGAATCCACCATTGGATCTTTTTATTTTGCAAATCTTTTGACAATGTTATAAACGACCATATCTCATAGATAATACCCTACATACATTTGATTTCGCAAATACTGCAGAGCCTTCACTCTAGTAAAATGCAGTTTCAGGGTCACTTTACAGACTGCACCAAAGTGCCAGTGTGTCGAAGACCACAGGGCCTCAGTCCTGAGCAAACGTTAGTGTGCAAACAGGCCTTGAGTAGAAGCTATGGTAGTGGGGCTGAAGGTATGTAGTACTAAGTAAGGCCACTCACGGTAAAAGGATCGAAGATGCCTGTGATGCAAGCGTTGGACGGGTCGGTGGCATGCACTTTGCCTCCAGTGAGCCTCCAGAGCAGAAAGGTGTCAACCGTCCCCATAAGGACTTTGCCCGCCTGCGTAGCTTCCTGAAGCTGCCACGCGGGGAACGTGATCCCGAGATGAATAAAAAAGATGAAAAAGAAAAAGTGTGCCACGAGCAAAAAAGGACGAGCACTCACCCCAGGAATGTTCTGCAAGACCCAAAGGAGCCTCATGACAGCCTGCGAGTGAACAGCATCCAAATGTATCTCTGAACTCTCTAAGAAAAAACAAGCACAAAGAAACATGAAGCTGGATATAGCAGGTAGCGAGAACTTGTACAGAAACCACCTGGAAGCTGCAGAGTGGCAGAATGTTTGTTTGGCTAGAAAGGAGCAAATGGTAACCTAAAAACTTGCACACGGTTAGAGGCAATTTGGGAAATTAAACGTTAAACAAAAACAAACTGTCTGCCGGTTGCAGTTATAAATGGCTCTGTGAGCCACTGTTTCTACGCTAGCCCACCCACAGAGATTGCGCCTATAGAGTGCTCCACCAACTGGGTGCCTCTGTCTGATCCCTGTAATACCTGCTTACGGTTGTGTTCACACTCTTATTGGAATCAGTCAACAGGGGTTCGATTTTGGTTGAGGTGGGAGCAAAAGCATTCTTGGCTGCCGATTGGACATGGCATCACAGCTTCTCGCTGGGTGCACATGATCAACCAATGACACATTTTTGACTTATTCGCGAGTTCCTAATTGGGCAATATTTTGGTGGGAATGTCTCCCCAACACACTAATAGCAAGAAAGGTCTCGTGGCCTCTGATGTGCTTGTTCCTAGTACACCTTCATATGGCGGTCGACATCAGCTTGTGTACAGCTTGAGGTCGAGGTTGTGGTCAAGGTATGCAAAAGAACCGCGGCTTGTCAATGGCTTGTGACGTGAAACAGGCGATCACAAGTTCAGCCTGCGTCCAAACTCATTTCGCCACATTGTTCAGTCCGTAGCGGACGATTAACATTTCAGTCTGTTAGCAGACAACGTACGGTGTTTTCTCGTTCTATTTCACGCTGCAAATGACACTTTGTAACGGATGAACGTGTTATTCGCTCGTGTTAGCAGACGAACCCTCCACAAACGCCATCTTCGCTCACTTCACGAGAGGCAAGTTAGATCTCGCCCTTGCAAGGACCAAAATCGAACCCCCGGACCCGAGCTTGAGCAACGAGTTTGGACTCCCGCTCACCAAGCCCGGCTCGAACCTCAGGATGCTGGCTACCAAGAACCGTGGTCTCCTAGTGACCCAGTGCAGCAACCGAGCGCTCAGGCGCAGCGCCTGCAAAGAATTTCGGTCGACGGTTCAATGTTCAAGGGAAACTTTTCATAGTCACGTGTTTAACTCAAAACTGGTTCAACACATTAATAGACACAACTGAACTACTAGTAACCCAAGTTACGAGTCACAATAAGTTTTTTTGTGAAGTAATTAGATTTTTAAATTTGGTCTGAGAAGCTTTGTTGGCAACACTGAAAATGTGATATCAAGTATTGTAATATGGGAGAAGCACAGCTTGTACCAGACGGGTTACGAGAAGTTTGATGGTGTGAAATGATTGCTGGAAAAATTTCTGCCAACAAAGCAAAACTATCAAGAAAACATGCAAATACTGCATTTTAGAGACTGCCTGCTTGACTTACAAATTATCCAACATGTGACTTAACGTCACACTACCGTCTGGAAAGCACGGAAAAATTTGATTGTTGGTTTTGGCATAACCTTCGTTCGCCACTTTCTCATTAGCCATTTTGAATTTAGAGATAAGAAATAGAATGCCAGCAAGAGTAAAGGCTGGGTATTCTGAAGATCTGTTTAGATTGGGTACCTCAAAAAACTGCCAGAGCACTCTTCCCTCTAAGAAAAATAAAACAATTATTCCCCACCAAGAAAAGAAAAAAAAAATGTAGATTTGACATTGGACACAGTGCACTGCATTCCCTAGTGGTGATACAGATCTCACTAGGCAAAGGCAGTGTGACCTAATCCTGTCGAGAGACACTGCGCTGCGAGTTCTTAACCTGTCCCCAACTACAGAAATGCTCGAGCCTGAACATAAGACACCGATCTGGGCGGTGTTGCGGTGTTGCAGTAACCCTGTTGCCAAAGCGACTTCTGCAGAAAACCAAGAGGGTTTTATAACAAGCGCCTCTCGCTTCTTTGCCATCTGCCTGCTTTCCCCCTTTACCTCTCCTCCCCTGAAATTTGAATCTCCCCCTCGCCCCTTGAGTGGAGAGCGTGCGGACTAGTGATGCAAAACTGTTGACAAGTTTACTATCAATACTATTGATTGTTTTTTTCCAAAACTACTGATAGTGTCGAAAGCTACTGATAGTGAGCTATCAGTAGTACTATTGATAGTGCTAATGATAGTTGGCTTTTGGTCGACCATTGATACTATCGAAAGTCAGCTTTCAGAAAACTGTCAAGCGTGGAAAGAATGCAAGCACTACCCAAAAAGGGAATGACGACGGATAGGTATGGGAAGACAATGCGTGGTTTTGGGAAAAATATGAAATTGAAAGTTAAATGTGACAATTGCAAACAAGGCACAAAGTTGCATTCTCATACAATGAATTCAGAGGTGAAACAGAAATGGTGTTTTGCTTAGTTTTCTTGCGCACATATTTGTAAAAGTAGAAAGCATATTCAGTATTTTTTTTTTTCTTTAGTCAGTGTTTGGAAAACACTCGATGAAGACATTAACATCAAGATTTTCACAAGTTTGTTTCACTCTTGTGTTTTCTTTATTATTCAATTGTCACATATTACTTTTTATAGCCTTGTCCACTGACAGGTGAAAATAAGCACACTGCTGGTGATAATGATTTTTTTTTTTCCAGCTGATGACCATTAACAGCAAATTTCCGAAAATCGGGAATTCGCTGTTGAAAAAAGCAGTTGAGCTTGTATGTCGTGACATGATGCCACTTTTTGTTCGTTTCTGCTTTGGCATACTTCATTTTATTAACAGTGGCTGGGAAAAGTTTTACATTTTGGTATAAAACACAACTTTAAAACACAGAAATTATAACATAATCAAATAAATATTTTGGAATTTCCAAATGTAACAGAGATTTTGTTGCAGAGACTTCACACTGAACGTTACCAGAAAAAAAGCTTATTTCGAGCCAACATGGTTAGTTACTGATGATTTTAGTTTCTCCATTCTTCAAATACAATAAGTTTGGGAACGTAGCTTAACTGGATAAAAATAAAATATAAAAGCAAAAATTTCCTGTGATTTAAGTAATCATATTGTTGGCAATGAGGCATTATTTCAGTGAAAAAAGCTTGTGAATCTGAAAGGCAATATTGTTTCCTTCCTTTCTCGTAACCTATTTGGTTAAGAAAAATGTCACACTTATCTCTTCATCCAGGTAAAGTGATGACCCCATACTTGCACATTCTATCACCATCCCTAGATCATATTCAATCAAGCAGGGTTCCACATGTATGCAACACTTTCTTATGCAACAGACTTTTCTTATTGAGCTCTGCCTATAAATAGCAAATGGCACAACCTGGAAAGCAATCTAAAGCAGTAAGACAAACTTTAATCCATATTTTTTTAATAGTACAGTCGCCGACCGATTTTTTGAACGCCGATAATTCGGGCTCGTTCAATATTTCCGACCAAAAAAAGAAGAACCGCGACCTACCCGTTAGAAATGGTGCATATTGACGACGAATGTTTCGGACAGCTTCAAGTACGAAAGTTTAATTTTTCTGACAAAATCATTGCAACGAACGCCGCCAACGAACGAGCATACGGTGCCAAGAGCAGGCGTCTTTAGCAGACAATCTTTTAGACTCAAAAGCAGCGCACGTTCCGCAGGCGGCGACAGTCGCAGAAACAAAAACAGGCGCGGTAACAAGGAACTGCAGTTCCTTGTCTGCTAAGACAAGGAACTGCAGCGTCGTACGCTCGTTCGTTGGCGGCAGTTGGCGTCGCGACCGCTTGCGCCATCTCTTGTCTCCCGTGCAAAACGGCGCCGTGTTGTTTGAAGACCGGTGGCGTCGCTGCGTTTCTGTAGGAGCTAAGCCTTTTTCTTTCTTTACTTTTTCCTCGGGTAAGTTTGCTCTTTGCAAATTTTACAAAAACAATGCACCATCTGTAAGCAACGCTGCACAAAGTCGTAGCGCGATAGGTTAAGAAACCGAATCTTGCGGTCGATTTAAAGAGCCTGGCCCCCCTTGAATCACCCTGTAGATAGTTTTACGATAGTTGGCTATGGATAGTTTCCCCACATCCAACTATAAAGAATTTCATGACAGTCAACTATTGATAGTATGCTATCAAGTTTCACGATAGTCGATTATGAATAGTATACCATCGATAGTTTTACGATAACTGACTACCGATAGTCGACTATCGATAGTATGCTATTGATAGTCGACTATCAAAGGTACAGTCGCCGACCAATTTTTCGGACTTTGCAGGGACTGAAGAAACATCCGAAAGACAGAGCAGTCTGAAAAATCGCCAGATTAAAAACAACCGCATCTCCACGTGGTGAATGATGTTGATTGGGGCGAAGCTCTGGTGGTGCTTGTCTGCGTAGACGGTGAGCCGCAGCATGCCGAGCCTTTCGTTCGTTTTCATCCATGTCACGCAGCGGTCAAATGCTCAAATGTGTATATAACCACGTTCCATACCACCCATTCTCTTTCTGACATGAATGAAAATGAACGAAAGGCTCGGCATGCTGCGGCTCACAGTTTACGCAGACAAGCACCAGCAGAGCTTTGCCCCAATCAACATCATTCACCACGTGGAGATGCGTTTTTTTTTTTTTTTGCCCTACACGAGCACGGGAGCACGGGAGCACATGCTTACGTGCTCGTGAGCACGTGAGCTCACGAGCAGGAGCACGTGCATCCGAAAGCGGACGGACATACGGACATGGCTAGCCCCTAAGGAGCTTCGCCCCTAAAAACTTGCCTTTATTACATCTAAGCGGGCTGCCTTCAATAGTGCCTTGCTTTAGGTTACACCTCCGCTTCAAGTACTTTACGCACCTCTTAGCGACACTTCGCGGCGGAGGAAGAACAGATGGGGCTACGACGTCAAGCCAGCGCAGTCCGGAAACATGATTCATTGAGTGAAGATGAGAGGCGCAAGTCCATGATTGCAGAATGGCAAATGAAGAAAGCAAAATTGTAACAATGATGATGACAATGACGCGCAGCTAGAGAAAAAAGAAAGCCGTAGCGTAGCGTCACACACCGGTAGGACTTAGCAGTACTCGAGTAACGCTGCCAAGCCAAGCCAATCTATGTGCTGCCAACTAAGAATCTAAAATGGCGGCTTCACAATGGTGTTTCCCGCTGATCGCACGCAGCAATTTTGTCAGAAAAATCAAACTTTCTGACTTCGAGCTGTCTGAAACATCGGTCGTGAATAGGCACTATATCTATGGGGTAGGTCACGATTCCTTTTTTATGTCCGAAATATTGAACAAGTCCGAATTATCGGTGTCCAAAAAATCGGTCGGCGACTGTATACTGTCGACAGTTTTACGATAGTCGACTATCTATAGTTTTTTCACTATCAATAGTTAAATTTGGCTTCCATCATCGATAGTATTGATAGTGCTATCGATAGCTTTGCACCGCTATTGCAGAGTCCCCATCTCGCAGTTCTCAGTTTTCTTACTTCACTACCCTTGCAGCTGGGAAGAGGGTGAACCTAGAAGCACCTATGGGTCCTCCGCTGCACATGTGAAGGCTGGTTCTCACACCAGTGATTACTTAAGAAACAAATGCATTACGACCTTTTGCAATGGCGCCACCATGACGCACTGGCACGGTGGCGCCATCTATGCGGTGACCCCGGAACTGCATCTCACTAGAGGAAAGGTTTTGCGGTATTTGAGAGATTAAATGTATGCTCACTACCTATAAGAAATGGTCATTTATAACATTGCCAAAAAAGTTTTTTGAGCCAATAGTGGAAGAGATGTGCGAAATAAATAAGAAACATACGGAAATATGCCCAACTAATGGCGCCAGTGCATTCTCTCGTCGTAAGATATCCCAGCAGGTCATAACGTAATGGCACGACCCTTTATTAGACGAAAAGTATAATGAGTCACCATCATGCGCAGACTCTTGTTCCATTCGTGGCATAGTCTTTCTGCCCTGGTGTCCTTCCATGACATGAAGTTGTGGTAAACCTTGCCCGTAGACCTGCGAATGGAACGCTCTCTTAAAACGGCGTTCATCTGCACCCTGCCATCCGGCAATCCACCTTCTTCAGTGACACTGGTTCAAGGGTGAATGAATTTATTTATTTATTTACAAAAACAACCCGCAGCGCCGAAGCATTATAGCAACTACAGCCTGGTACGTATTAATAATGAGAAAAACGCTCGTTTATGAAACACGAACAGGTATGAAGTCAGTAAAGGTTGTTAATTAAACTAAAAATCGAGGTAATATAGAGGAGCGAGGCGGTAAATTGGCCTAGTAGGTGATACTTCAGTTGTAAGCCAGAGCACGCTTGTCCCATGTTCCTTCCTTTTGTCCTGTCCATATGAGCGCTGTTCTTTATCGTGTTAAAAAAACAAGCGAGTGTAATAATTCCTGTTACCCTTTCTCTCTTCTACTGGCTAAGCAGAGAGGAAAAATGACGTCGTTATACCTAATTTATAGAGAAACATGCATGATTCCCAATGGGAATAAGAGCGATTTTTGGGGTCACAGCTGCCGAAAGTCGACAGCACGTAGCCTACATGCCTGCGGCCAAAGGGTACTTGCTTTCCTGTCGAGTACTCTCGAACCAATAAATTGGAGAAAGGTCCATGCGCATTAATTAGTCCTCTTTGGCATACATTTTATTTCCTCCTCGAGAGATGACGAAGAAAGGGGACCCAGCTGACCTGTCCCACGTGGTGAATGTCCCACGTTGCGTGGAAATCCCCAGAGCCTTGATGTCACTTGCGTGGAGCGAAGCAGCTGCACGGGATTCAGTTCACACACTTCACCAGAAGGAATAAACCACCGTAAAATTACGAACAAACAACTGAAATTGTAGGTAGCTGTTTACTCTATTCCTCCAATCTGTGACTGGTAAAACATCATACAGACTGGCAGATGCCTCAATGAGATTAAACAAACACTCAAACACACAAAAAAAGCCTTTTCTTTTAAGTGCCCAAATAGGAAGAAAATGTCACACACAAAAATTTACATGAAATATTAAAAAAGGTAATATTGTAAAACCCTTTATTTTCGTGGCCCCTAGTTTTGTGAATCAGTCACAGGGAACACAATCACGGCCACTAAATTTCACGAATTCCAGACGCCAGCATTGAAACTCTTAAGAATCAAAATTTTTGTGTGCCCTTAAATTTCGCAAATTTCTCAATTCGCAAAATTCACAAAAATTAAAGGCTCGTGAACATTAAGGGTTTTACAGTATTTTCTTCGTAAGGCACATTTTGAGCTAGGAGCGATTTCGAAACATGCTTTCATTTTAACGCGTCAAGCCAAAACATTGACTTCACTCAAAATATCATCTCATGGTGTAAACATTGCGCTAACTTTTCTTTTTTAGTGGGAAGCTGATTACTTGGCATATATGTTCCATCCAAGCACTTAATTTCTTGTTTTTGCTTGAGAAAGCATTACATGCACGAAGTGGTGACAGTGCGCATCCTGGTAGTTATTTGCAATTTGAAAAATGTTCCGTCATCAGCAGGAGTGGCCAACCACTTACCAGGGAGGTAATTGAGGCTTAACTGATTCCACGATTAAAGGACAAATGTGTAAGCTCCTTCTTTATTCTTATCGGGGAAAGATATTGAATAGCTAGTAAAAAGGAATCTTTGATGCCAGGAAAGCATTGTTTATTAGTCACATGTATTTTTTATGATTCAAAATTTATGTCTTTGCTACTTGTAACAGGTGCTATGCCAGAAGACTTCAGTTGAAGATTAGCACCTTGGTGTGTCCTTTCTGTCTGTTTTTCCTTTACAGTGTATGTCTTTAATTGTGAACAACCAAGAGCTCACTTTCAACTTAATGAGGTTTTTATTATTATTTGTTTTGACCCCTTCCATCAAAACTTCGAAGGCAGCTCATAGCGGTTCATTGAGGTCGACGAATTTTCAGGCACTAAACTTGTGCAAGTGATTTAAATTTTTTATGACCTAATATTTTTTAAGAAAACCATAGATGTAAAACTCTGCCATGAAAAATTGTTTTTTTTGGGAAGACACTGAAGAAATTGTTTGCAGTTTCATCTCTCAGACATGAGGCTTCTCTTTGTTAAGCTTACCATCTATTGCCGACCTGATTGTGTCCACAAACGTCTTCCAAAGGTGCTCTGGGTCAATCTCAAACACCCCCGGCAGTGGGCTGTGCGTTACCACCTACACAAGAAGTGCACTGTGAGATGTTGACTGTAAGATATTGAAAATTCATCAGTTTGCCTGCATGTCCTCTGTTAGTTCTACCTGTTAATTATGCAGTGACGGGAAGTACTTTTTACCTACATTGTACTCAAAGTACAACAGTCATGTTCCGTTACTTCGACCTTGAGGGGGTACGCGAAATTGGGTTGAATTATCCAAAAGTCGAATTAAGGGGAGACACTGCCCAGAAAAAAAAATTTCTGCAAAAAAAGTTGATTTTGAAAAATGACATCTTTACATCCACCAACATCTAGAGAGTATTCCCAAAAAGTTTCATTAATTTTCACTGTATAGTTAATTTTTTATAAATCATTTTCCGTCCACCAAAGCTATAGAAAAGGTAGGGTTTGGAGCAATTTGAACACATTTTTCTCCGTTCCACTATTTGGTATAAATTCCATTTTAGTCAATCTATCGTTTCATAATGGCAAAACAGGGAAAGCGCATTCTTCCCTTATCCTGACTGAAATTTAACAAGGAGTGCGGCTATGGAACTTTTTTGTCACTTTACGGATGTCTTTTGTAAAAAATGTTGACATTTTGGCGAAGGCACAGAAGACCAAAAAGTTGACCAATTTTGCAGAAGAGAAAATTTATAGAAATGAATTACTTTTTAGAAAAAATGTTCCATAGCCGCACCCTCTAGGCATTCTGCTACATATCTAGCAAATAAAAATCGTTAATATCGCAATAGTTTTCTGACGATAGATTAACTAAACAACGTAGGCGTGTTGCTGATAGAAGCTACTCTTATTTCCTTCTCATTTAACCGACAGACCTGAAATTTTGTCATACACCCTCTAGCACGACCACCAGCCTACCCTGTAAATTTCGTTAATTTTAAAACAAGGGTTCAAAAGTTGACCCCCCTAGGGGGTGTGCCCCCTTAAAGGATGCGTCCGAAATTCTGAATATCCAGCGCTTTAGATCATGCGGGTTAACAATGTTATAATGGGTCACCGCCTACCACCGCACAGCAATGGCATCGGCTGTGTATGTCCTTCGAGCATTTGGTGTGGCAGCGGTGATTGGCGGCCAGCGAACAGACTGTACCACACGAGTGCTATGAAGCAAGTGTCATTGTTGTGCATGTTGACATCATCAGCAGCCCTCTCTCACAAACAGCCAATCAGCGCTCGGTGCTCCACAGTGGAGCTGCAATGGTTGTTTCGTGTTTAGACAGAACCGTGTCTCAACATGCATCCTCTAGCTCTTTTTCTCACTGTTCACAATTCGGCGCACGCTTCAAAATTTGAAAAAAGGTTTTCTTCGCCGAGAGGCACGACCGATCGCACTTGTAACTTGCCCACGGCGTAATTCGTAACAAAAAGGCCTTTTTGTCGTGTGTCACGCACGGCCAATCATGCTTGTGATTAGCCCACCGCCAGTTCTCTTTAGGTCGAGTTAACCAATATTTTACATTTCAAGACCAAAATAAAGAGATTTCTTTCAATAGAAATGTATGGGCTTTTGCCAGAACCTTTCAACAGGGTCAAATTAAGAGATAAGTCAAATTAACCGAGGTCGAATTAATGCAAATCGACTGTACTTTAAGCAGGTTTAAAAAACTTGTACTTTACTTAAAGTATTTTTTCTGGTACTTTCCAAGAAAAATACAACTCCCAACTTCAAAATATGTTCCCCAAATTTAAAAGGAAAAAATGCCGTATTGCCATGCGAAAACGCACTCTCTTTTTTCGAGACGTCATCTGGTCATTTCACGAAGTGAAGCAATGGTAGGTATAAGACAAATACAAATAAGTTGTCATATAGGTTCATTCTGTTAAATAGTTTGTCAGCAAAAGTAATACAACTACTCTGTGGCCGCACGATTTTATACAATATTCGCCACCATTTCCAAGTAGACCTGATGCACCCCCGAACACCCCTGGGGCAATGCATACCATTTAAAAAATGTATGGCAAATTGCTCAGCAATTTCTTTTTTTGAATCATGCAACAAGCAGAGTTTGATTGTTTAGATAAGGTGACCTATATGTGCATCCCATATGAAACCCAATAGGGTTTCGGCACGCGCGTCAACACTAGTTCATTTGTGGTAGCCCTGAGGGATGGCCAGGTTGAGGCCTGGTGCTCAATTCAGGGGGAAGAGAAGGTGCTGCAGATTTGGGCAATTCCAGAGAATGTTTCGGAGGCCAACTGCAGACGCCCTGGCAGAGCAGTGGGGGAAAGCCGGGATGGCACCATTGGAGCACCAGCCCCAGGAGGCCAACACTGCGGGGGGGACTGCAGAATCCGTCAAGATCCCTCCAAAAGGGGATACGGGCACGCGTAGCAACCCTGATGCGGGCCTTGCCCATGACGAGCGAGGCCTCCGGCTCACCCGGAATGGGGGCGGGATCATAGGGGGGACGTTCAATCAGGGCTGCAACACAACTGCTTGGCAATTGTGATACATGAAACGTCCTAGCATTACACACATTATATCACTGTTAAGTGGCACGACGAGCCAGTTCAGTCAGACGCCTATCCTCACGATGCTCTTCATCGGATAATTTAACGAGTGGCATGTGCACACTTGAAATGATAAACCTGGTGACCTTCCAGAGCCTTCCAGCCCACTCCTCCTCTCTCACCTCACCTCCCCCTCCTCCTCATTCCACCCCTGGTCACATGACCTCCCTAATAACCATCAGCGTCGAGCACCTCACTCCTCCTCTCCCACCCATCAACCAATCAGTGTCAAGCACCTCACTCCTCCTTTCCCACCCATCAACCAATCAGTGTCGAGCCTCGCGGCCACGCATTTATCCAGGCTTCACTCTTGGGTTTCACGAAATGCCAAGCACTTAGCCAAAGAATGTTTCATATTAAAAAAACACTGTATAAGATAGATATATAATTGGCATCATGAAAAGTTCACAATTTGAAAGGAACGAGTTCCTAGAAATAAAAACCTGCACATCTTTTAATATTTTTACACAAGACTCAAACTCGATATAGTAACTAGATATGTTTGACCCAGACTTCTGCACTCCTTTTCTCTTCACCTCCAGCTTCTTATTGCCTTAAAACCAGACACATGCACAAACACCATACAAACATATTGAGGAGAAGCGGCCTTCCAGAGCATCCAAAAGTTCGAGAAGCTGGCAGCTTCTCCAAAGCTTGCATGCTCCACGCACCAGTTAAATAGTGTTTAACTGCATTCTCATAACGAAGGAAAGGCACAACAAGCAAGCTGCTGTCTCTCCTGTAACAACAACAGTGGCTTTCCCTCAATATTTGAACATTAAATGATATCTAAGCAGCGAATGCAACATACACTGGGTTACGGTAACCGACTTTGATCATTTTCTATTCCTAAAACATAGCAGGCTCTTTAATTGGTACACTTTTCATAAGATGAGAGTCAACAGGTAGTGAAAAGCTTCCTCAAAATCTCAAAGTAGAGAAGGACTTTACTGCAGCCAACAAAGTAAGCACGGTGCAGTGACCCTCATCTTCCTTAAAAGTCTGAACGACGGAGTCGCTGCAACTCATCAAGAATGAATGAGTGATTGAAAACATGTCTTCATTGAGACATGAATGATCGCTCCTTGCCTAGCGGCAGGGTTCGGGCGAGAGGGGAAGGGGCAGAAGGGTACAGGCACTGTCCCACCTTAGCAGCTGCCGAACCCCGTATGGCAGTTTTCACGTCGTAAATGTGGCAGCGCAGCATGGTGCTGCCAACGTCCACGGCTGCCACAAAGCCTTGCCCATCCTTGGTCCTGTCCCCCATAGCCCCTAGGGACCTGTCCATCAGAGATGACAAACGGGAGTCGCTCAACGCTCGCAAGGTTTGAAGCAACTGCTTGGTCACGGCCAAGCAGTAGCAAAACAATTCTGTACTCCGTAGAACACATCTCTTTGACTAAAGGAGAGGCAGGTATCCATCTGCGCATGCAGTTCACTGTTCATTACGTCAACCGAAGAGCAGATGCTGATGCTGTTCAGCGGCATCACGGTGTAAGCATGAAACACGTCTCTCAGTACTGGTGGTCCCTCCTACGTATTGCCTCCTTTGAAGTAGAAGTTAGGTAGCGTCAAATTACTACAATAAAGGTAATGTTGGTGGCAACTGGACCACCAGTGTGCCAGACAAAATCTCATCAGTAGAACCTATCTACAAAGTGGCATAAAGAGAAGAGCTGGCTGCAAAACAAGCCGGGAAATTCTACACTGCACATAGAGGGCTTGAAATGTCATGAAATAAGTATTTTAAGAGTAGATTTAGCCTTAGCGGTTTGTAAGTTGTTCTTTTCAAAGGATGATCAACAGTCCCTGCTATGTGGAAAAAAAAAATATTAGCAGTTTAAAAGAAGTCAACTGCTTGTAAATAATTTTCAAGTTGCAAAAGAAAATATTAATACTTTATGACATATTCTACTCCGTATTACTTGGGAATTTTTTTTCCTATAATATTTTTACGCTTTATGACACATTTCACTCCTTTGTACTTGATTTTTTTTTTCAAATATTGTTATTTTTTTGTTGCTGTTATTGTTTTAAATAGCAGTTTTGATTGTTTGTAGCAGAAACTGGTCTTCACGTCTTCCAATCCCGATAAAAAAGAAGTGACAAGGTGAGCAGGTATGGATTTACCATGTTCTTGAACCAACGGAAACTGGGTAAAGGACGAAGAATCCGTGGTGAGAAGATAACTTGTGGGTTTTTTGTGAGCGTGGTGGTTGGTTGGCGACCTCGAGAATGTTGTATACATGAAGGTGCTATTGAATAAACAAGTCTAGCCGAGTTGGAGATGTTGCCTTCTGTCATTTTGTTCTTGTCTCTTCCCTTTTTAAATTATTCTCGTCTTCCACCCAGTATCGTGTGGTTTAATAACATGTTACCAAGCACGCCGTCTTGACTTCTTTTTTCGCAAACCATACTTTATCCTTCTTTTAGTAGGAGTTTCTGAAGGACGCGCTATATACATACACATGTGTTGTCACTTTTCCCCTCAACCTCGGGGTTCCGTTAAAGATTAAAATCTGCCTCCCCGGCGCACTGATTTAATGAAACTGCTTCATTGACGTCAAGGGCGTGAGGATCGAATAATGCTAAGAATTATACATGCCTTGGGAAAACAGCCGAGGTCAGTCGGCGAGTAACACAAGAATACCCTTTCTCGAGAACGAGCTCTCCAAGATACAGGAACACCGAGTGAGGTGCAGCCGTCGCAGCATGAACCCCACATAAAGACAAACTTCCTTGTCGTCCGATCCTTTACGTTTCGCCTTTCTAGCTCGTTCGAAATAGCAGTCGACCCAGTCGTCTGCTATTTCGGCCCACGATCATAAACGCATGGTCACGTAGAGGCAGTGAAATGTTTACCTTCTTTTTGGCATAAACTCAGATCCAAAAAGCAAAACAAGCGGCCAGTAGGCAAGAAACTGCGGTACTGTTTGGACCGTTTGGACGCCTTCGATGCCACGAACGTCACACCAGTTGCACTACACGACTACACTGCGCACTGTGTTTGGCAACTTGTGGGACCGTGGTTTGACGTTTGACCCGTACTGGATTGGATTAGACAATTTTTTTCCTTGTATTTGTGCTCTATGCGCTCTTGGTACATTGGTGGATGGATGGGCGGTCTGTGGAAGGGCGGTAGTTTGCGCCGCTAGGCCTTGGTGGTCAATAATAAAGCCCCTTTGTTTCTCTTTTGATCCTTTTAATACACCATCACCCTCCAAAATACCCTCCTCCTCCTTTCTAAAGGTTTTTTTTCTTACCACTACCATACCACAGAGCTCTGCCATACTACTCCAACTCTATGACCACTACCACTGATCGACCGAGCGTCCGGTTTCGGTTCGCCTTTTCCGTCCGCCATTTGTGCCCTTCCATGGCCCGTGGTGAAGCTGGTGAAGCTGGTAAAGCCGTAAAACCCGTGGCCCTCGTAGCGTGTGGGGTGGAGTGGTGAGTCGTTGAGTCCCCGACAGCCCCGTTGGCCCTGGTTGGCCCCGTGGCACAGTCAGGACCACTGGTCAGGACAGTCAGCCTCGCCAGCCGCCCCAGCCGGCCGCCCGTCGAAGCCATGACGTGTTGTTGCGCTGTAGGCTGTTCCAATCAGCAAGGAAAAGGGAAAAAGTTATTCCGAGTCCCCCTTGGAGAAAGGAATAAGAAGCGAAGAAAGATTTGGATGTCACGAATCAAGAGAAAAAATTTCACGTGCACACCCGCAACCAGACTGTGCGAGGTAAGTTTTAGCTCGGAAGAAAGCTTGCGTCCAAGTTCAAAGGGCAGCCAGTGCCACAAGCACAAGAGTTCGCGATCACTCGTTCTGAGCGATAGCAAGATTGTGAGCTGTGATCTCGTGCGGGTGCTGACATCCTTCATTGCCTTCAGCACTGTACTACTTCAGCAGCTGTGTATGAGCGCCGCCATAAGCGATTTTCAGTTTTTGTTTCCTCTTATTTCATAGAACTTTATTATCACCATCCCAGGCGAAAATCCGCCCACTTCCAGCTGGATTATGGAACTGGTTCCAGCTGGAAATGAAACAGTCCAGCTGGATTCCAGCTGGTTTGTCTTATTTCCAGCTGGGTGGAGAAGATGCGCTTTTTAGACTCCCACGGCGGCTAGGGAGAAGGAAGTGACGTCAACAACGAAAAAAACGCAGATGGGATGTTTCTTCTGCGGAAATTCGTCATCAGCGACTCTCACTAATCAACATCCAATCTGCGTTTGCTGCGTTGTTGACGTCACTTCCTTCTCCATAGTCGCCGTGGGAGTCCAACAAGCGCAACATAGGTCTCCAGTTCCATAATCCAGCTGGAAGTGGGCTGATTTTCACCTGGGATATAGCAGGCCAGGTTATTGCCATGTTAGATTTTACTGTGTCTTCCCCAGCAGTGGCCTTTGTGGAGGCTCGTCAACGCCCGTTGCAGTGACGCGTCTCGGGAAGACAAGAGAAGGTTGGGGGCGATGTACGCCGCAATGAACCTTTTGCAGAAATATCGGTTTGAAAGTAAATAGATTTGGTACCCCTCTCTCTTCTAGCCGAGCAGGGAAGGAAGATGATTTCTTTGTATCAACTTTGGGGCCGAAAATAGCAGTACACAATGGGGACAAAGGCGATATGTTTGGGGGAGCCGTATCTAGGTCACAGCGACTTAGTGAGCAAATTAGGGATGTAGCTGACGATTTGGGTGTCGAACAGCCTTGGACCCAGTCGCGTGTCTAGGTGGCGGCACGTATTTGGAAAAAGGTGAATTTACCATTTTCAACATTTATGGTTTGACTTGGGGTTGCGGTATTGTAGCAATTTCCCACAAACAGCTTCGGGGGACAACGGGAACTAAACTTGATAGCATGTAAAATCAGATATTTTTATATTTAAATACTCATATTTTACATGCATTCAGATGGAGTTTATCTTTACCCCTTGGCATTAGGCTTTCCACACAATTTCGGAAATTTCCCACAATTCGGCAACACTGAGTCACCATGAGTGTGATGCCTCGAACGCGTCTCCCACTGGTGTGTGTAAAGCGCCCAAAAAAGTGGTCCCTCAATTCCCTCCTGATGACGTCGTAGAAATGTCTCCGATCGCGATCCTGTCAGCGTTCCAATGGCTGTGGTGTATGTGGGCAGACGCCTGTTCTGCTGCAGGTCGCTCTCCAATGTGACAGTCCATGAAAGCTTAGGCAGCCATTAGTTGGCACTCCGCGGCGACAGCGACACTCGCTTTCGCTCGTGCTTTTCTCCAGCATTTCTACGGCCAACCGCCAGGATCACGACCTCCGACAGCATGACACTCCGGCTTGTGTGCGTCATTTGGTATGGTGTGGTGCCTGGAGACGTGCTCCAGGCACCAGACCATGAGTCATTGTTGCCATGAGTGAATCTCTCGTCTCGGTCGACGCTCATGGTGTGCTCGTGCATTCATTACCAAGACCTTTCGAACAGGCAATTTCTGCTAATTATCAATTTTGTCAGCTCAGATGTTGGTTCCTTGCAGTGTCTGCGTGAGTTAATGACAACCAACGACGTCTTGCTGATCTGATATACTTTGATGCTTGCCGACGAATTTGCGAAAAAGCAAGTACGATCGAGGCAGTGGCGTAGCCAGAGGGGAGGCGTATGGGGCTTTTCCCCCTCTCCCCAGAACCGATCCGACCCTATGATATGCACCTGCATTTTGAACCCCCCTACTCCTCCCCTCTGTACCCTAAGTCATGGACATCCAAGCCACCTCAGCCTCCTTCTCCCCCTTCCCCCCAAAAAAAATTCTGCGATATGCCACTGAATCGAGTGATCACGCCGTGTGCTTTATCGCATTACCTTGACGACACGGTGCACAATTGTTATGTCACTTCACCATTTGTTACTGCCCTCAATACTTTACAGTACATTCATACTTCGAAAGTTGTGTCTGAACTGTGTAAAAGATAAAGCCACAAGCACGTTCTTACATTCCAGGATCACTTCACTATCGATCAGTTCGAACCCCATATCCTTGCGAAGACAGGAGAGAAAAAATTGAAACCGGATGCAGTTCCCAGTCTCTTTGCTTATAATTCTCCATCCATACCAAGAAGGCTGCCCTCCAGGAGAAACCAAGAGACGTGTGGTATATTCAAAATAGTTTGGTTAGGATAAGATAGGTTTCCTAAATATTGAAAAAATTTGCCTTTCAGCTGAAGCATCAACATCAGTTCAGCAGATCCAGGCGTTTGAAGATGGTAACTCTGTTCCAAGTTATCACACTCTTGCAGCTACATATTCTCAAAAATGGTGCTTTCGGCCGTTTTTCAGCTCAAGACACAATCCTACCGGACAATGAGCAATGCCATATGTCTGTTGAAGCCTGCCCTGCTGCTGGTGAGTCTGTTTCCATCGGTTTACCGCACCCTTGCAGCTACATGTCCTTACAAACGTTGCTCTCGGCCGGTTTTCAGCGCAAGACACAATCCTACCGGACAATGGGCAATGCCATGTGTTTGTTGAAGCCAGCACTGCTGCTGGTGAGTCTTTTTCCATTTTATCAAACTTTTGTAGCTACTTTTTCTCACAAGTGGTGCTCTCAACTGGTTTTCAGCTAACACGACTCTGCCGGGAGTTGAACAACGCCATGCATTTGTCAAAGCTGGCACCGCGGTTGGTGAGTCTGTTTCTATCGTTTTATCACACTCTTGCGGCTACATGTTCTCGCAAATGGTGCTTCAGGCTCTTTCTCTAGCTCTAGACACAACCATATTGGGCAAGGATCAGCATAGCATGCTTGCCATAGCCAAAAGCTCTGTCGATGAGTTTGACATCATTGTGCTGATAAAAACTTCCTTACTATTGTGCCAGTCATAAGAAATGAAGTGTCGCATACAAACTTTTCACTTTGCAGCTCCATCAGTGCAAGCTGCTCTAAACAAGCGAATTGTTCAGCTCGAATAACAACTCGAACAAAAGCAATGACAACCGACGAAAGCTCAGAAGAAGAATTCAGAAATTCAAGAAAAAGAGACACTAAAGTTGGGTCTGAAATCCTACTTGAACCCCTGACCAGATCAAATATCTGGAAACAATGACCATTAGAGGGCCGTCATGGAGCCTCGAGACGTTGTTAAGCTCTGGCTCACGAGGGTATGGTGTGATGAGGGAGTTTGGGCAGCCATTACCAAGAGTGCGGACGTTACAACATCATTTGGAAAGTTGCAAGTTTCGGACCAGGATGCTCGTCAACGTTATGGATTCATTGGCAGTCAAGGTTTATATACCTTTTACTTTTGGTGTAAAGAATTACGTATATGTTTTCATAGTGCTGCTCACAAATGTTTTATGCCATGCAGATTGGTCTCATGGAACCACAGGAACACCATGCTACGTGGATGCTGGACGAGATCCAACTGACACCAGGACTCGTGTTCGATAATTCGTCAGGCAGATTCCTTGGAGCTCCAGCTCTCCCACTGGCCGACGGAACTCTCCCAAGCAGCTTGTTAGTCACGCATAAACTTGTCTTTATTATGAGAGGCGTGAGGAGCGGGTAGAAACGGACAGTCGCATATTGTCTGACCGGGAATTCTTTCCACGCAGAGCCTGTAAAAGATCTCATAACACAAATCATCGTGGCCTGCGAAAAAATTGGGCTGACAATTGATGTTGTTGTTTCAGACATGGGGGTTGGCAACCAAGCTTTATGGAAGCCGGAAAATATTGCCAAACCAAGACTTGGTACGGAAGTTGCACTTCATGCCCGATGTTCCGCTCTTGCTAAGAAAACCTCTGGAACCGCCTTACAAGATGTTAGATAGAAATTCACCTGCCAGCAACAGTTGTCACCAAACATCACTTCTCTAGTTGTGAGGTCCAGATTGATCCAATCAAGAAACTGGTAGAACTTGATAGACAAGTAGAGTTAGATTGACAAAATGAAGGTGGGGTTTGCTTTTAGTATTTTCAACAATGATACTAAAGCTGCTCTGCGCATTTTAGTTTCAAATAGCCAGATAAAGAAGAAAGCGTTAAGTACTGCTCAGTTTGTAAAGACCTTTTTTTAAATGGTTCAAGCTAATGTCCTCCCAAACAACAAAGTGGCATTTAGTAGCCATTTTGATGATGTCAAACATGAGGAGAGTGTTACATTCTCGAACAACGTAAATGAGCTTTACGCAGCTATTGGGGATGGTGCAAAAAATGCATGGAAACCCATTCAGACTGGCATTAGCCTAGCAACAAGTGCAGCATTGTAAGTCCAAGACCTGTTCCCAAGCAAATGCAGCTTTCACTTTCTCCACACGAGTCGGTTCAGCCGAGACGCATTAAAAAACCTTTTCTCAACATTCCGTGCAAAATATTTTGTGCCAAGAACATTGGGGTTTAAGTCTGCGCTTAGAACAGCGACCAAAAAGTCAAAGTCAAATTGGACGTTTTAGTGATTTATACAGTGCAAGGTCGGTCTGCCAGTAGGCGCGACACTGGTTCACACTGTAGATAAGCAATTTCGCCAGTGCAGTATGACTGCTAACCTGGGTTCTTTAACGTGCTCGCGCAGTAGTGATGCACGACTGCACGCCGGTACGATGCTCATCCAGATCGAAACGGGCAGGGGGCGGAGCTCGAACCCAGGATCCCTGGGTTCTGCAGCGCGAGCTTTCGCTCCACGCGCGTCGAGTTAGGTGTGCGCTTTAGCCCACTCGGCCACCGACCATGACGCAGTTTATGAGGCGAAGTAGGAGCAGTAGCTACACCGATGATGAAGGCTCCATCCTTACTGGCATGCCACCAAAAGACAGTGTTGAGCCAGGGAAGTCTGTTGAGTACCCCGACGACATTCTGCCGCTTAACACGGCCGAAAATATTGTTACACCAGATCTGAAAGATTGGATCATGCGATGCATGCAGTCTAGCAATTGGTAGTGGCGGCACAATGTAGAACCTGATGAAGCTCAAATCTTGCGTCGAAGGTGCTGAACACTTGGCAGCGCCTTCCTCACCTACTATGCAGGTAAGAGACAACAGAGGCATACTTCAAAAAAATCCAGATCAGCCTGCTTTCTAGCAAGCTACAAATGCTCAAGCAGAAAGTTTTGGATTCTGTGTTTTCCTGCCGACTGCTTTCCTCGGCGCCACGCTGTACTTGACGAGCTCGTTAGTACCTTTTTGAGAACGAGTATGCAGATTCCTGTTAGAAAAGAAAACCAGCACCTTGTCAAGTTGAAAATGGCGAAAAAAATATGGCAACAGAAGTGTTTTAATGTGTGCAGCGGTGAATCTAAATAAGTGAGACGGTGGTTATATGTCATACTCGTTGTCACCTCAAGATAAAGTTTTGCATATAGTTCATACAATACTTGATTGCCAGAGAAAAAAAGAATCGCTTTTTTTCAGTAGGGTGCATCGTAATAGACGATTTAAAGCACGCACAGAAGTATTTTCATTTATAACACAAGAGAAATTGGTAACGCTTCACGAGGGAGTGAACATTTTTTTACTGTGGTTCTTGGGGTGACTATCGGCTTACGGTTGTGTACCACTACTGCTTGATGCATGTTAAAAACCCCGGGTCAGCAGTATTGCTGCACTCTAAATTGCTCATCAAAATCATGAACCAGAGTCGTTACTCGTTAGATCCGTATGCAGGTCATACTCGCGCTGTACTGGATGTCAAATTTGCTTTTGCTTTTATCTTGGGGTGAAAACGAGTATACGAGTGTGAGTGACTATTACTAATTAGAAGATACATAGAATTTTTGCTTTTATCTTGGGGTGAAAATGAGTATATGAGTGTGAGTGACTTTTACTAATTAGAAGATACATAGAAAGGGGGGACAAACAACGAACTTCCTCATGTTTAATTACTGTTACCAACACGCCCATTTTGTACTTGACTATTACTAATTGTTGTCTGCAGATGCCTAAACAACCAAATAATAAAACCTGCATAGTTGCAAAAAAAAAGCTTATCTTGCAAAATGCTTCATTGTTTTGACTGGTTGCTTTCTTTACCTAGAAATTAGAATGAAGTTCTAACTATTTATGTAGAACTGTTCTAGGCCAGTGGGCGAGGGCCTCTGGCCCTTCTGTTACACCTCAGCCATCCTCGGTCGAAATAAAGATTATTATCAGCCTTACAAAAACACAGTGCGTTAAAAGTGAGTAAATTGCCTAGTTCATAAATTTCGCACACGCGTAAAAGAAACTAATATCTGATGAAACAAACCATGCCACTTTATTACTGGCATACAAAGTTCCAAAAATATTTCAATTGAACTTCTGGCATTTTAGTGTTCCCCGTGCGTTGCTAAGTCACTTATGTTTGTTTTTCAAAACGCTCGTTTACATTTTTCATCTCGGCCTCACTTCGGCTTGTAAAGGCAAAAACAAAAAGGCACAAGCAGCGATAATATTTGCCGTTTAATGTTTTGTAAATGAGCGAGTTGGCGACGCCGAAGCTATGGTGTATACTTTGCCCTGTTTGCAGCGCAAGATCACTGCTTCGCATTCCATTGCTGAAACATGGGCTATTTCACGCATATTGCCTTGGCTTCGCTGTTCACTGAAAAGAAAACGAGATTAGGACGATGTATCTCACGGTTCAATTTTCTTGTATGAATGTTTGTAAAGCGGAAGACCATCCGATCTCAAACCGAATGACCCGAGCAGACGCACAGTCAAAGCCTCGACAAAACTCGCATCCTTGTTCTAGACTCGAAGGAATGGAAAGACGTACCCAGTAGCAAAGACGTCAAGGACACCGGTAACTTGTATTCTAGCGAAAACAGAAGCTGCGAGTCGAAATCTATTGAGGGTTTGCAAGCAGTCGCCCATCAAGGCGCTCGGCAGAAGGGTAGCCTAGGAGGCGCTAGCATCGAAATGAAAGGGGGGGAGACCTGTGGAGAGGAGGAAAGTAAGATATTCTCGAGGAAAAGGGGGCAAGGCACCACTTTCAGTATAGAGGGGCTTCAGTTAATGCGTAGCTTGCATGGACATTACTTGGTCAGACACAATGGGGGAAAGGGTGCACGTGAGTGCAAGCCTCCGCTGCGTTAAAGGGATGGTGAACCGAAATTTGGATTTCAGAAAAAACAATGCAGGAGATCTAGGCAAGACGCTACAATCCCTACAACACTACTCGTAAGGCGATATTTCGAATGGACGGCCGTATATTTTTGGAAAAAGAGGTAGAGATTGAACCAGGCCGAAGAGGCACGCGACGTCAAGATACCTAGTTTCCTCCTCTCTTCGCTTCGCTCCCTCAAGGCTGCGAGGCGGAGAAGACGCGAGGCCGTTCCCTCTCCTTCTCGGAGAAACATGACGTGAACATTTCTGTCAAATGCACCTCCTTTTCTTGAAAAATACGGTCATCCATTCAAAATATCGCTGTATGAGTGATGTTTTGGTGTTTGTAGCATCCCGTTGCACACTTTTGACACCGTGCTTTGTGGAATCCAGATGTCGGTTCAGCATCCCTTTAATGGGACGCTTCTTGTCACCAGAAAAAAGGTTGGATCAACGTCGCGTGCAAACCACGCATACAGTATCACCTCGAGGACGAGGCCTTTGGTGAAATGTAGCAGAGTAGCGTAGCAGTTGCATCACTGAGCTGGAAGACGGCTGAAGTTTGTCATTGGATGTCCAAGGAGAATGTGCTGTTCTTCAACTGTGATGCGACTGGCAGTGAGAAGGGCAACGACTTACATAATAAAAGCTTTATTTTCAACTCTGCATTCGCCACAATTAAAACGAAAACGGTGATGTCGAGGACAACAAGACAACCCAAGTATCCAAGCAGAGTGAATTTCTTTTTCTATGCACTGAATGCTGGGGTTTTCTTACAATATTCGAATGGTCATTAAAATAACTCGATCGTGCTCGCAGCATGAAAGCCTTAGCATGCAGACAGTCTTTGTACAGGACCATCCTACAAGGAAGAAACATTCCTCAGACAGTGTCTGCATGCAGACTGTCCTTGTGACCAGTTTTAGAGACAAACAAAAGCTGTTCGCAATTGTACGATAATTCTAATTCGGTATGCAACCATCAAGGAAAAAAAAAAGTTGATTTGTAGAGCAAAATAATCAATGTGTTATAATTGGTGATGAACGCGAGGGAAAAACGAAGCATCTAAATTTCCTATTTTATTTGCCTTTAAATTAGTATGTTCTTTGTGCAATGTTGAAATAGCAGATTAATTATTACTGTTGCGTAGAAGTAACAAATATTTAGAAAAAAGCAATGTGCTCGACATTATATCAGTGTTTGCCACGGACTTGAACAGCCTTTGAGGGGATAAAGTTTTCAATTGACTGGATCGATTATGTCGTGATGCAGCATTAGAAAACAGCATTACGGACATATCCAACAAAGAAGTTATGTTCAAAATGTTTTAAAAAATGATTTGCCATATTTTCTAACATCTTCCATTTTTACTTTTTAGGCTCGCATGAATATGTGCTATTACAGAGATGCCTACGTCAGCCTGGCACATGTTCGTGAATGGAGCATTTGCCCACAAATTAAGTGAGCTAACTGCTAACAAAACCTCGATGCTTACATGGCAAAAGTGCACCAAGAACGCATAAAAACAAAATCGTCAACTTTCATGCATCATATGTACACACGCACAGAAATGAACATGCACAGCACATAATACACGCAGCAATGTTTAAACAGCAATGCACAGCCAGGTCATGTTTGGCACTTAAGTTATAACACAGGTTGAAAACATTTACCAAGCCTCTGTGCGCTTGTTTGAACAGCATGCGACAGTGACATCACACGGCATTTCGAAAAGTTCCGGAATCCCTTCCTCAGGGCAACCTTTCACGATGGCACTTCCTCTGTATTGGGCATACAAAAATATTTTATCCGTGAAACAGACGCTCAAGAGTTGCAGAGGTATCTATGCTGTTACGAGTGGCAGCCCAAATTTCTTTGACGTATACCTCGTAGATATTCACATCTTGCAAAGACTGCCCCTGACCCTTCTCCCATGACACTCGTCGTCTGTCTTGAATTAGTGACCTACACCCGATTACAAGCAGATCTCGATAACACTCAATCACAATTTAAAAAAGAGAATAGTTCTTTAGAATAAAACGTAAGACGTGCAGAACTGCAAACTGCTTCAGCAGATTCTCGCCAAGTAAATGCTTTCTAAGGATACAAGAAGTTCTTTTGTTCTTTTCTTTGCACCAGAGAAAAAAAAAATGCCTATTGTAAAATACCGAGCAAGCACCCACTCAAAATTTAGAGATAATCGTGAAAAAATGGGGGATGGGCGCTTGTCCGGTCATCAATTTTACATACCAACGTACTGTGCATATTTTCTCAGGTCTTACAAATTTCGGAATGGGCGCTTAGTGTGGAATGGGCGGATGCACGGTATTCTACGGTAGTCTAACTCCTGCATAATAATGTTAAAAGAGTATAAGAGGCATTACCACATAGAAACATATCAACAAAAAACCTTTAAAGCTGTTATTGTGAGGCCACCAATTTCGGCAACTCAATACCCCATATGATATGGGTTTTGCCGCAATGAGACAAAAGTCACATTCACAAAGAAAATTCACAATGACCTTTCTGATTCGCCTATATTTAAAAATGACAGACATATTTAGTGTTGTTTTAACTGCTCAGCTCTGCAACAGAAAGAGAACAAATGCATTGTCCACATTGCCTATTATTTCAACGAGAAAAAATATCTCTAGCACACATGTGGCACAATGTTGTGAGTGTATCCTTGTTGGATCTACTTGTACAATGTTGAAATCCTAAATGTGTGGAATCACTATTGTGACAGTTCACAGAGCTGCAACATTGCTGCATGACACCAACTTACACATTGCACAACCATTCAGGATAACAGAAGTTTATGACGCTGCTTGCCTGCATTGTACAGTGCCTATGAATGAGGTTGATATACTCATAAAAGTCACTGTTCAATCCATAAATGGTTAGGCAGGTAAAGACATCTGTCTATATGCAAAGCATACAGGGCAACAAAATCAGCAGAATGCACAGTTCACACTGCAACACAATGTGGCAGAATGACTTTGAGCTTGCAGAAAGAAAACAATTGCTGACTTGGTGCTACCAACATTTCTCCACAAAAACCAGCAATTCGCAAAAGGTACTTTTAAGAAATTCATAGTTCCTAGATACATTGTGACAGCCATAATGAAGTGCTGTCTTGGCCTAAGAATAAATAATAAAAATGACAAAAATGTTATTCAGGCTGTACCACATCAGCTGCACATAGCACTTGAACATAATGTACAACACCACAATATCAAAACAGTCCACAACTTTGAAAGAGTCAAGGCAAACATAGTATAAACCCTAAAGCATCATATTAGAAAAAAAAAAATTCAGAAAGTCATCCTAAGAAGCAAATGTCACTGTCATATCCATAAATATAAATTGTAATTGCTGAGTTTTGTCATAATATATCAAAGAGCATAACCAAATGATATAATTTCTAGACAATCCAGCATCATTCAAAAGGGTACGCGCAAACTATACTTGTCGCTGCAATCACCTCAACTAGTATATTATCATGTGTACTTCCACGACACTAGATGTTGACCTTCAAACTTCTATTTTTTACATAAGAGAAAGGAGCTATATATGTACTACAATTATCAATGCCTGAAATGAACCAGCAGCAAACATGTCACCAAACGCAACATTTAATCATTTTCAATGAAGCCGCTCAAATGAAAAAGGGTTCAAAATGTCCAGTGACCTTTTACTATATATAAAACGTGCCTAGGTATCGGTAACTGATGCTGCACTTACAAATGTGGGACAAGTATTCCATTGATCTAGAAATCTCTGAAATGACAGCCAGCCTCTCAACAAATCTTGCTAGATTATTATTTTAGTTACAATGCACATTAACAAAGCATCACCATCAAGGACAGTAAAATTATGCTTGACAAAATTTGATAGTAAACCAGGTTCTGATAAAATAAACCTCGGTGAAATAATATATACTGGAAGTTAGCATATTGTGTGCATGCATCAAGCTTAAAGAAATCCATCCCAAAAGCCGTGACTGTCTGTTCCCAGCTGCAATTTCTAGTTTAATTTTATGGCTTGTACTCCCTGATAATTGAATTTTAACTGAAAAAAATGCAAGACTGCAGCAACAGCTTGTTCTCTAATAACTGCTTTAACTTGGGCATGAAGTCTTCAAACACGTCAGGTTAGAACAGAGTCACGTATAATGTGAAGGATATACCTCTTTCTCTATCTTCTAAAGCTCACAGGAACATCCTGATATTCTGAATGAAGTTATTATCAAAAAGGCTGTGTTTAAAGACTGACAGCAAACTAAATGATGAAAGCCTCACCAAAAAGTGAGAAGATAAAAGTAAAAAATCATAAAATAGGATATTATAAAAAGAAATGTTTGTTCGAATTGTGAGTTCTTGTATAGTTGGATTATACCACAATTGCAATTGCTATCTCCATAATTCAAGGACCAATGGAACACATATGATTGGCGATTAGTGCATGATGACTAGAGCCCGAATGTTTAGGCATGGAAAAGTTGTACTATTCTCGATGGGCCTACCGTAAAATTCCGAGAGACAGCCCACCTAACATCAAGAGCAAACTGGCTGAAAATATGGAGCGGGCTACCTTTCAATGTACAAGCATGTTTTAAAAGATTGCTCTTTTTAGGTCGTGTCCCTTCCAAGTTTGTTATGGTGGCAAGGAGCAACGAAGCAAAGATGACTGTTCCCAGTCAGCAACGTCTGCTTATATCCCGCCGTAGCGAGCTAGCCACATTTAAGCCGAGGCCATCATTGATCCCAACACTACTATTACTAGAAGCGGGCTATCTTTTGGTGTTTAAAAAAATATAGAAAATCAAGCCAAAAATAGGGGTGGGCCTTTTTTTTCGGGGTGGGGCATCTCTCGGGATTTTACGGTAAGCTGGGCACTAACTGTCCACACAAGAGCAGAAGGAATAGACATCAGAAGTGTAAATTGAAGTTCCTGTACTGCTGTTCAGTCCCAAAAAACTGCCATCGATTGTGCCTAATCATGCTTGTCACAGAAAATTTACGAGCTAGTTTCGGTGCCTAAACACAAACTCTTTAGTGTCTAAACATCTGGTCTCTAATGATGACACTGAAACAGACCCACTGAATGTGGACAATGATGAGGCACCAAAGCAATCTGACTCACCACATAACACATGCAATGTGTGGTATGTACATACCACAAAAAAAAAAAATAAAAAAAAAAAAAACACTTTAGCTCCAAATCTTTAGACTGCGAAGCAGAAAAGATTGCTTATCCCAGACAACTGTTTTGGCTCTGCCAGACACATCGGCACTTAATGAAAGGGGTCGCTCGCCAAGCAACTGAAGCGTTTAGCTGCAACAAAAACTCAAAAGCCCCAGAAATCCCCTTGTCTTCACAACACACATTTTTTTTCCAAGTGTAAAAAGGCCTTTTGAACATTCATCACCACATACTCTGAATCCCCTTTTCAAGAGGTCACTTCAAAGTCGTCGCAGCTGCCGCCTTCCAAACAGCCGATGCGTGTCAGATTGTTTGCACAGTCTGACCGAGCCAGACTTGAGCACGAGCACAACACGTCCTAAAGAAAATAGTCGTCTATTAGCAGCCACTTCGTCCACAATGCGACATGTTGATTGCCGCCACTTCCCAAAGTTTGCACAGAAGTCAGGTGTGCTGCCCGTAATGCGCAGCAGAAAAGTCGTGTCCTTAACAGCGGCTGTTTGTGACATTCGATGCGGACAGCACTGAACTAACCACTCCGGCGTCTTCTTAAGCGTTCATAATCTGGTCTGTCTGCCTCTGGCGGTACCGACGTTCCCAACGGATGGTGAAGAGAGTGCAGGGGCAACACAGCTCACAAACGCAAACAGCAGATATCGAGCACAGGCACTAGTAGACGAATGCTTCCGCGTTCTGCAAGCAGCAGAGGTTGTTCATCAGACGGAGGAGAACACCATCTTCAGCAACGCTGGTGCGACGAGAACGACAAACGACGCGCATCGTAGGCAAGATGAAGACGAAGGAGAGGCTGCTGTGATTTGCGTCTTGGGCTTCTTTGGAGCCGGCGGAGAGGTTGGCACCGAGACGCTGAAGAAGATGTCCGACGCGGTCGTTGATCGGCCCGGTTCGAAGTCGTCATCCCCGCTACCGCTTCCGCTGCCGCTCCCCATGTCATCCAAGTCGGCTGTTGAAAAGTTTGCGTGAGTTCATGTATAAACAAGTAGAAACTGGAAACAGAATGTGTCCTGGCTTCGTAGGGGTCCAGAAGCAGGATGGAACCCTTAGAGTAGCATAAAAATAGCTAATGACAACAGTTTCAGCTAACAATAGTGTCGTAGACACATGTAGAACCTGCCTGTCAAAGATGCCAGAATTTTCCATGGTTAGATATATGAAGTATTTTGTTATCAGCTAGTATGAGTGGCAGAACTCCCTGAATGTTGTAACTGACAGAAATTTATTTAACATCAGAACTCTTTGTAGAAGGGATGTCTTCCAAAATTTGTATACGAAGAAAATGCACATAGTGTCATGAATAGACCCATGCTCCGCTTCTGTACGAGAATCTGAAAATTATGCCCTCCATAAAATGTAGTGTTCGAATGCATGCTACCTTATAAATTGGTAAAAAAAAAAAAATTAGGCACAACCTTAAGTAGTTTCACGAGGGTAGACCATGAATGTGCACTCTCTCACCGTTATTCGTCTATGAAACAAGTTATTCTACTTATGTGACTTTTTTTCATGATGGCCATAGCAGCATAGAGCAATGACAATCCTAAAGTAATTACAATTTATGTCCCAAGCTTTCCAATGGTCATGAATGATTCTAGCATGGCAGCCGTAAAAGAAATTCATAGATAGAAATTCACACTAATAAACAATTCAAACATCTGAAAATATAAATGGTCAAAAATTGCGACATGGTCATGTTAGTGATTTGACCTGCAGACAGGACCGAAAACTGCCCGGGCACCAGTGCACAACAGATACTAATACACACACGACAAGATTCGCATTGAAGTGAAACCTTTCACACTGAAAACAGAAAGAAGCAATATCATTAGTTCACTAGCCTCACAAGTATTGTTTTCCTTATCCAAGCTTGCACAATGATTCAAATCTCTGTAGGTGCCACTCCTGCTCTGCAACTTCCCTGCGGTGCTCTCAAACGTTCCACACGGGCAAACGCACAAGTGCACCGCACGCAGCGTTTGCGCTCTGTGCAATAAGCCGCACTCAATTTTACAACAACACTGAACTAAAAACATGGTTACTATGACTATGCACTACGTATTTCGTGTACCTGAATCAACAAAGCATGATTCAGCTTTCTCTTTATAAAACGGCCTGCAAGAAGATGATAGATTACCCACGGTAGTCCCACAATGCGGGTGAAACGGTTGGCAAAGCTGCGTAGTACACAGCTTGAAATTTAAGAAGTAGCAGGACAATTAATGGACGAAATTAAGAAAAAAAAGATGACGCCGTGTCATGCTTTGTTCACTTTTGGGTCCGCACTTTAAAGGGATACTACAACAAAATTTCGGCGCTCATTTTTTTGGTTTTAATGTGTTCAAAGGAGCAGCATCACATCGAACATACCGATATCTTGTTAAAAAAGTCACGAAAAGGAATTTTAAAACAAATGAAACGATTAGCAAAGAGCACCTGGTGGATGTCGCTAACGCCTTGCTTGTAATGCCCGTCTAGGAACCTTGACAGCTAGTGACGGAGGTTGTCTCGCCTCCGGCCACGACGAGAGAAGAGGGGAAGGAGGAACTCCCCTCTTCCCAAAAATGCCTTTTGTGTGTCGCAGAAGTCGCTATTGTCCCCCCTACAAGATTACAGAAGATTAACCCGTCACTCAAAATTCGGTCAAAAGCAGCCGCTCCTGTGGCTGGAACGACTAGGCCATCCTCTCGACGTCAGCCTCGCCGTAGCTTTGCTCGTCCTGAGACGACCTACGTCACGATTGCGTTGGATGCCACGTGGTCTCCGCTGGGCCTTCTCCGAGTGCTTGCCAGAATGGGCCGTTTATAACGAAAAATACAGCCACCAGGCTCAAAATACAAACGTGTGATTGCCATTTACGGATATTGTGGATCATATTCCACCTATTTTTGAACACGACGGGAATATTTCAAATTTTGTTGAAGTATCCCTTTAAACAAGAAACAGCAGTAACGATCCCGACTCACCGGAGTCCTGCCATTGGACGTCGTGCCCACTGTAGGCCAGGGTGAGCTTGTTGGTGATAATCTTGAGGGTGAGGATGAGCTGGTTGATCACCACGTTGCTACTGGACCGCTCTGCGCCATCTTTGTTCCTATGACCCTTCGTCCTAGTTGGCCCGCTTCCAGTCTGGTTGTTCTCAGACCTGCAAAAGATCATCTTGTGTAAGATGGCGGGCATAGCGAGGTCACACATGCGTCATTGCACGAGTCATTGTATCGGCCGCAGATTTTACAGGGATTCACTCATGTCTTACAGTGTTTCCTTTTTCTGGAGAGGTTTACGTCACTGCCTGTTCCTGCAAAGACGTTGCAAATAGTGTGAAATATTTTCCCAATTATGTAAGAAATCTCCATGGCGAATATAACCTTCGTTTATCAAGGTTATATATTTTTAGAATACGTAGCAGGAGAGGAGGTAAATGGTTGAATTTTTGTTGGAATCACGGTCATAAAACCTGTAAAGGTCACATTAACCAGTCTCCGCTAAAATCAAAAAGCAGATGCTACGCTCAGTTGTCAGATCGCAAGTATTAGTCAGTACATTTTCTTAGAACCTATTTCTTTGTCAACCCTTCCTAAAATCCACCTTTACTTGTGCAAGCTTTTCTGGATATTCATTCTTCTCTTCCATTGTTTGTGAGTGGAACTGTGTGGCTTTTTTACTTGCATACCGATGAGGAAAATTATTTTTTTAATGTTGGAGTTTTAAGGCATGGAAAGAAAGGGCATGGAAAAGATAAAACAGACATATTAGTTATACTTTTGTTATGATTTGTGCTCTCAAGAAATTTAACCTAATTTTTCTCCCATGCTTACCGTAATATATCGAGCAAGCACCCACCTAAAATGTAAAGCTTATCTCGAAAAACCGGGGGGTGGGCACTTGTTAGGTCACAGATCAAAAATGCAGAAGGATCACAAGGTAGGGCGGGCTTCACTGCTCGCAACGCACACGGGGTTAGCTTCACCACTTTGCACCGACAAGCTCAGAGATGCGTCTAATGCCGAGAAGCATCTCGGTTAGCCGTGTCAGCTCAGAAGTCTGGGGTGGGCGCTTGATACGTCCTTTGCCTATTTTTGAAACGTTTCAGAAGTGGGTACTTATTCTCACATAAATGCGTGTTCAGTATTTTACAGTAAATACATTTTTCTAACATTTACCGTTGCTACTCATTCTCATTTATCTAAAGTAAATAAAGATTACACGATAATCACTGAAATAATGTTGCTCTGTATCAGCAATGCCTGATACAGTAAAGCCTTGTTATAACAAAATTGAAGGAGAGGTCGTAATTATTTCGTTATAACCATTAGTTTGTTATAGCCACTGTCCATCTCTTCCCACTTTTAGCAAACAAGGGGAATTATGATTGCATTGTTATATCCATTAGTTTGTTATATCCCATTTTGTTATAACGAGGTTTCACTGTACCAATCTCCTGACTCGAGCAAAACATCACAGCATTACTTCAATAAAATTAACTGGGCGGTGACGCATAAGATGTTCTTTTATCCCGAGACTCGTAGTAAAATAGGCCAGAAAAATCTATGTCTGCACATGGCATGTTAAAAAATTATTCAAGGGTGCCTTTCACTGGTACGTGTTGCCTCGCAATATTTTGAGGCATAGCTCAGTTCCCGCAAAAAATAAAGACATCCTGGTGAGTTTCAACGATGGGTGCCGACGCAGACAACCGAGTCACGCTGAAAGTCATGTTTGAAGCTCCTACCTGGAGGAGGTGCCAGAGGTCATAAAAAGCAGAAAGCAGAGATAAGCCACGCATTTGCACCAGGTTTTGCACAATTGTGTTTGCCTTCATTCCTTTTAGTTACGACGTTAACATCATCATGCACAATTTGTGAGTGAAGCTAGACGACACAACGATTGTCATTAATCCAATCGACCGCCACTGTCATGACGTGTCCCGATTGCGACACATTGCATCGCCTCTTGTTAGGAGCGCCAATTACGACTCTTGGCATGACCCAAGCTGTGTTCCAAATCTTACTCAAATGAGTCCAGGCTACTCTGCATAGTTATGTCACATAAAAACACAAGCAGAAGAATGCTGTACAAGGGTAGGTTTTCTAATGTCAAGGTACGAAACCTTTACCATAAGGCGAGAATGAGCAAATTCTGGAGCATGGCCCCGATCATCCGCATTTGTTGTTGTCGTTCCTGTTTCTCACAAACAAAAAGTTTAGCCGTGAAACACCCCAAAAAAACAGTGTGTCCCCCAAAAAATTTACAGTTTTTTTTTCTTTTTTTGTAAAATCAAGCAATGCATTGCTGAACGTTCAGCCTCCGCTCAAACGTAGCCCTAGCGGTTCGAACTGGATTTCGAAGTCTCAGAACTACTAACCGTTATCTTAATCAAAAGTTAGAGACGAATTTCTGAAAACTTCAAGGGGAAACTGAGGCTCGTTCTTGGTAACTGACACCATTCAACTCCATGTATTCGAGGGCTCCGTCGACCTCCATTTCCCATTAAAAGGTTCAGAAAATCACCTCTAACTTCTCAGTGAGGTGACGGTCAGTTCTGAAACTTTGGCATCTGGTTCAGACCACTAGCGCCACATTTGGCCGGAGGCCGAGCGTTCAGCAATGCGTCGCTTATTTTCGCAGTAAAAAAAAGAACCCGTAAATGTTTCGGGGAGGACACCCCATATTTCTGACATTCAAAGGCTGACCTGGCTCTGTGAAGGCCGTCCCAGCAATCTTCGAGAGGCGGGGACCCCTGGGGCGTCGGTGGGCGGCACAGCCGGTCGGGCAACTGTGCCCACATGCCCCTGGTGGTGCGGATCTGCTTCCGGATCCCCTGGACCAGGCGGTCCATGCTGGTCCCGGCCGCCGTCGTGGGGCGCATGGCGCCCTGCTGCGCTCCGCCGAACTTGAGCGTCTCGAACTGGAGCTCCTGGTGACCCCCGCTGGCACGCCGTGCCAGCCGCAGCTTGCCGCACTTGTCGTACAGCTGTCGACCGATCAAGACATTCGTGCGGCAGGGTTTGACTCTGACACATGCTTCGCATTTTATCCACACGCGCTAAAAGAGGGCCATGGGATCAGAGCCCGGAGCGGGGGGACTTTTTTTAGCGTGGCACCAGTCCCCTAGCCATAAAGGCCCGTTCACACTCTTGCGACTGCTTGCGACCTCTTAAACCTGGGTTCCTTAAAACTTCTTAAACCAGAGAACACACTGGCGCCATCTATTGGGAAGCAGTGTAAACTCGGCGGTCCGGAATATTTTTATTTTATTTCTCGCGCAATATCCTTTCTTTTTTGGCTCGAAAAACTTTTGTCAATGTTATAAACGAGCCTTTCTGTGGGTATTACGCACATTTGACCTCGGAAATCCCGCAAAACCTTCGCTTTTGTGAAATGCAGTTCTAGGGTCACCGCATAGATGGCGCCTCAATGTCAGTGTGTTCCCTCATTCTAGAAACATTTAAGAAGTTGTAAGAGATCTCGTCTCTCTCAGTCGTACTCAGTCGCAAGAGTGTGAACGGGCCTTAAGTCTTCTCTGCCTTGGGGACTTCTCGTCGATAATTATCATCTTTCAGGTGTAAGAATTTACTAAAACTTAACGAAATCAAAATAACAAGAAAATGTTTCATAAAATGTCTTCAAGAATTGCAACCCAAACAAAAAAAGAAAAAGAAAAAACTGCCATTTTGTTTATTTTAATAAAACGTTTACTTCAGCAAAATCCACAGCTTTAGGTTGTTCTTAAAAATGAACAAATTCCTTCTCATGAGAGCCTCAAAGTTGTCTGATACCAAAGCTGACCGAAATTGCAGCACAAGCTAATGCAGCAGTTTACTTCTTGTTGATATACAATTGTGTGCGTTTAGACTAAACATAGAGCAGTGTCATATAAAAATACTAATAAATTAAACATGTCGATCGGCAAGCTGTCTGATCTTATATAAAATCGTCCGGAGAATGAAAGCTAGGAACTTGTGCCACATTTCCTTTATACCTTAACGGCAATGTTTGCTCGAAACCAACCTCACATTCACATTAATGCCATTGTGTAAAAATAGTAGCGAACACTCCTCCCAGCCTCTTTTGTTAACAATCGTTTTGAGCTTGGGCATTTTCAATTTCATCTCTAATTTCTAATTCAAATCAAGCATGTAATAGTGCAAGTGAAGAGCTGAGTAGCACGGAAAGGAGCCTACCGTTTGCAGAATGGCGACATGGTTTTCTTGAAAGTCCATGATAGCTTCCGAGATCTTGACCCCTATCGGATTAACCACCGACTCGATGTTGAAGGAACTTTCCAGGCGATTGGCCAGGTTTAGCAGGGCATCTGAAAGTTTGAACGTCCGAAAGTTGACGCAACGAATGTCGACTGTTTGGTCCTCAAATGACGTCGAACGGCCACACAAGGGACTAAAGCCAAAAGAAGAGTGTTTATTTGTTCTGTGCAAAAAGAACCCGCCTAACTTTTTCATAAATACTACTCTTACATATTACTGCCTAACAGCTACATCACGCTGCATTCACATTTTTCAGGTCGTGAAACAACACACTACAAGTATCATACTGTGTACACAGACAGAAACATTTTGCACATTCTCTTTTCAGTGGAACAGCCAAACATTAAATCAGTCTTTCCAATCACACGGTGAAACTCGGAGGCAGTTTAAAAAGTCTCGGCAACATTTTCAGCATTTTAGTTTTACCAGCAGCGAAGCTTTGCTCCTCTCTCACTGTACCTCTTTTTTTTTTTTTTTGCACTAGTCAGATTTCTGGTTTCCTGCATCTCCCTCATGTAATAACTCTTCTCCTGGGACCTGCTCTGGTCGCGGGAGTGGACCAACGTCGTGGGGAGAGAAAGAGTCACGCTATAGGCAGCCAAGACCAACAAAAAAACAAGCCCTATTTATTTATACACTCCTCAGGACGACTCGCGGCTCCCCTAGTGGACGCAGTCGCAGAGAACCAGCGTTAGAAATGATATCCAATCACCTACAAATGAAGTCATAGTTCTAGGAACATTGTGGCGGTTGCCCGGCACCTCAAGAGTATCTATTGTGAAGTGTGCAGAGAAAAAAGACTCATTCTTTGTTGATCTCGGTTGTCGAATGCAACCCTCTCCGATCACGTTGGCCCACTCCGGCAAACAACACGGAAAAATTTATTGTAGTGCTCCTTCAAGATGACAATGAGCGAAACAGCAGTTAGAGCACTGACCGATGAAGTGACCCCACTCTGTGTCCAGTTCCATGTGGTGCACCAGGCAGCCTTGCATGACGCTGTGGCAGTAAGACGAACACGGCTTCAAGTCCGGAAGTCCGTGGCAGTGGGGGCAGTAGCTCATCTTCATGAGCGCATGACTGCAGTTCGCCGTGGGTCCGACCTGCAAAGAGCGCGGGCCAGAAAGAAGAGCGGTCAGTCAGGCTCCTGTCCGTGTACGACTAGGACAGGCCACAGACATTTTTATTTTCTTTACCGATTGGCTGCACTGACTATATTGAACATCAACTTTTTTGTGCCTATCGTCAAAGCTTGAAGTTGAACATTTCGGCAGACAGCCCCCCTGAAGAAGGTGCCGAGCCGGCACCGAAACGTTGGGACCCTACGAGCTTTCAGGGATTAGTTGGTGTTTGTCAAAGCTAGCTTAATTCCCACTATGCTGCAGCCTAGCATCGCAGTGCAAACCTTCGTGTTGCGTCCCATTTACAAATAGCTTAGGCAGCGCTGCGGGAACTACACTAGCCTCGGTAATGTAGCGCAAAAATGTTGATGCTGAGAATGAATACCTAATTCACTGCCCAGTAATTATTCAGCTCATTCCCAATTTTCGCATATTGGCCAACATTTTTGACACAACTTATGGCTGCAAATTCCTAGAAAAAGAGATTGCAATGGGCGAACACATCGGGGAAAGAAAAGGGGGGTGATATCACCCCCCTCTTTGCCCTAGGCAAATCAGGAGCGGTTTCTTTTTATGGAAAAAAAGACATACAACAGCTTTTTTCCAGGAATGCTTAGTTTTTGTTTAATCGGCAAATATTAAGTAAACAAAATATATCTGGGTGACGCTTCACTTGTGACCTTAGATGTCTTTGCTGGCACCCCCCCCCCCCCCCCCCCCACACTTCTCCCTCTCTGCCTAAACAAAAAATCCGACCCTAGGCCAAAAATCCCTTTTAAAATAAGAGAGCTCTAGCTCTCACTCCCTTCTATTGTCAATTCCAAGTTACTGGTCTTTAATTGCTTTAAGTTATCTCAGCCGACGCCCCATGCCTGCTTAGTGCATTCCTCGCAGACAGTGAAGCCAAAGCTATGGGTACCCGTGCAGTGGCGCACCTTGAGCACTGATCAAAGCTGTGCACGTGCGGTGTTCACTTCTTCCAAGGAGGTTAGAATGCTTCTTCTGAGATGCCAGAAAAAGCCGTCCTCGAGCAGTGTTCTAAGCACGCGCTGCAAACAACATGGCGTCCCATGAATGACGCCATTTTGACATCCTAAGAAAGCATTATTCAGAAAAAAAAAAAAGAGCGTGAAGAGGTCTGATTCTAACCCTTCACAAATCATTAACAAAACGCAATCTGAAAGAGCGTAAAAAAAAAGAGAAAAAAAGACAATGTTTTATTTAGAAATATATAGGAGGACATGTAAAAACAAACAAATTAGTAGTCAGCTGTTTATACAGCAGTAGTTGGTGTCTTTAACGGGCACCAGGCAGTTGTAATACAGGACCGCCACGCCGGTAGGACGCTTATCCATCCAGTTCGAAACCGGCAGGGGTGAGAGGGAACTGAACCCAGGATCCCTGGGTTCTGCAGCGCGATGAGGGCAAGAACAATTCGCGAAAAAAACTATAAGGACCCGGGAGTGGGCAAGAAGGAGGAGGAGGATGAGGAAGCAAATCAAGCAAAACAGGGGAAGAAAAAGCAAATAAACAGAGGACCTGCCCGCCAACCCCCCCAAAACAACATGCTAACTCGTTCCGGGAACGCGAACTGGGGAGAGAGAGACCCGCAAAAGAAAAGGCAAGCGTGCGAGAATTAAATGAGATCGTGCCCGCGTAAAGTAAGTATAGGGTCGTGAGAACCGAATGAGACAAAGGCCACCGACGCCGCGAGCGGCTGCACGCGGGTTCGCGGTTTCGTTTGCTCGAAGCGGCGGCGTCTGATTGCGAAGAACCCTTTCGAGCGGAACTAAACCAGAGGCGCATTCTCGGGCCGCTTTGCCCGCGTCGCGTGAGGAACGCATCGCGTGACTCGCCTCTCCGCGCATGCGGACAAAGAAAACCGAAACAACGCCAGAATGCGCAAGCACTGTCAACGGAGAGCCATTCGAGCTTTGAAACTGATCCAAGTTTGTTTTGTTTCTTTTGAGAGCGATTCGGTAATGCCGCGATCACGCTGCTAACACGTCATACAAATGGCAGTCTGCTGACTGACGCTGTCTGAGGAGTCTTTCTTCCTCGTACGACGTCTGCCATCCAGTATCGAAGTTTCAGTTGGAATATTTTTGTTATAGACATTTATCAGCCAGACACCATAAACACGATACATTTCTACGCGCCAAATTCTACCTTATTCTTTTTTTTTTTAATTGTTGATTTTTTGAGTTACGAAGTCTAGGGTTGGAACCGAGCGGCTGACGCAGAGCTGGTCTCCGGTAAAAAGTGCGTAGAAAATCCTCCACCACGGACTCGCTATCTCCCTGGAGGGTTTGTCCGGACGAGCCAAGAAGGTGCACTCACGTCCATGACGCTCTGTATGACGTCCCTGCCGACCCCGAGTGCCTGGACGAAAGTGCGCGTGGCCACGAAGGACCGCTTCACCTCCAGTGTCAGCTTCTGCGGCACGTCTCCGAAGGGCTTCAGCTCGTCCCTGTACTCGCTGATGCACTGCAGGTACTTCTCGCTCAGCGTGTACTGGGCGTTCATCACCTGCGAGACGCCGGCACATCATGAGCAACTCCGGACCAGCTGGACCCGTCGATAAGGTGACGCAATGAGGCATCCGTCTTACCAGTACCAAAGGAAAGTTCGTTACACGATCCAGAGCCTGAAGGCCCGTTCACACTCTTGTGACTGCTTGCGACCTCTTAAACCTGGGTTCCTTAAAACTTCTTAAACCAGAGAACACACTGGCGCCATCTATTGCGAAGCAGTGTAAACTCGGCGGTCCGGCATATTTTTTTTTATTTCTCGCGCAATATCCTTTCTTTTTTGGCTCGAAAAACTTTTGTCAATGTTATAAACGAGCCTTTCTATGGGTATTACGCACATTTGACCTCGGAAATCCCGCAAAACCTTCGCTTTTGTGAAATGCAGTTCTAGGGTCACCGCATAGATGGCGCCACAATGTCAGTGTGTTCCCTCATTCTAGAAACATTTAGGAAGATGTAAGAGATCTCGTCCCTCTCAGTCGTACTCGGTCGCAAGAGTGTGAACGGGCCTTCAATCCGTGGTACGATGTAAATATACTGCCAAGGAGACACAAAGTGTACGAAACTGGGATCTATGGCGGCTCGAGTTTCATCCGCTTGGCACGAGAGGGCGTCGCACACTCACATGATACTCTACTGTAAAGGGCTTCACCCTATGCCTACCGAAGACAACATAGATTTAATAAAGTCATTGGGTTTTAGAGACAGCGAAGGGAGAGTGGATTTCAAGACTGTAGAGATTACCAAGCAAAGATTAAGTGAATGGTGGCAGAAATCGAGAGAAAACTAGGTATTTTCTTATCCACTGATGGCAAGGGGGTTTCATAGCCTCACTTTCTTTGCACTGCGGAGTGAATATAGATTTCACATTTAAATATTCTAAGCTTAAATGGTAAAACAAAATGGCTAGGTGGCGTAAGCTACCGCCCGATCCAAAGGGCTCAGCCGTATTCATCCATCCATCCATCCTAGAAGGTTACACTTTGGTATCGGGCAGGGAAGTTGCTTGCGATTTTATGTTAGCAAAGGGCCAGTGGGGCCATACAAGACATCTTGGATCCCTATCGCCGCTTCAAGTAGTAGGCAACCACGAAAAAAGAGAAGTGTTAAAGCCTCGGAGGAAAAAAATGGATTATGTTCCGAAGAAGGTCTAGAAATAAAACGGAAACCGATCTGTGACCTATGATAATTCCAGCGTCTCACCTGAAACATCTTCCTGTAGAGCTCGAGGAAAAAGCCGTCCAGCGCGTCCACCAAGTCAACACCTCCCGTCAGGTAGTACTTCTCGAGGTTCTCGAACATGTCGTGAAAGATGTAGGAGTTGGTGTCGTACTGCATGCCGTACGTGCGCAGGAACATGCCGTGGAAATCCTTCTTGGACGTCTTCAGCAGCTCCCGGAAAAACTCTGCAGGGATACACGAAGATAACTTTCAACCATCGACGGTACCGAACAACAAATAAGTACACAACCCAGAGAGGACGACAGCTTTGTGTTTTACCGTTTTCACGGTACAAAACAAGACAGATTAAGTGGTATACAATGTGGCGTCCCAAGCCGGATTCTGGAAGTAAACAGGCTCACTGAAGAACCGACGTAGTGAATGTTCCATTAATCTAGGACACTACAGAGACACCTTATTTGGGTACCGAAAGGTTAGTGATCATATAAAAACATCTACTATAAGAGGATTTAATACCCTCAAGGTCTATTTATTCTAGGAATTTTCCCTTCGCCACCGTCTGTTGGTTCTACCTTCGTTGCCGTCTGTTCAACGAGCAGCAGAGCAGACGTCATCTTGATTAACGGTACCTCGACTTTAGGGTGCTTCATGGAAACGCTCGGAACCTTGCCCCACCGTATAACTGCTATCACCGTCCGATGGACTACAGCCATCTGCATGGGCGTACCAACCGGGGGGGCAAGGGGGGCACTTGCCCCCCCAGTTCTCAGAGTGGGGGGGCAAGGCATACGTTTTGCCCCCCCTGAAACGGCCGCCACTGGGCAGAGCAGACACAGGCCGGCGGCGCCCAAGGAATACCAAGGGCACTGCCCCCCGACCCGCGCGGGCATATTTTTAACGCGCAGGCGATACAAACCCTAGCAACGGTGCTCACGCACGCCGGATTGGCTGGTTTGTGGAGCCTTGCCCCACGAACAAGTCTACACGGTAACCTAACGGAATCCATCCGCGAGACATGGGCCGGGCGGGCCGTCCAGACCAGGACGTAGGCCCTTACACAAAATAAAGTTTTGCTTGCCTGCTTGGAGATAGGAGCTGCCGCCGTCAACATAGGCAGCGGATGCAATGCGAGTTTCCGAAGAGGTAGCGTAACTTAGCGGTGAGATGTCTGCCTCATACGTGTCAGACCCGGGTTCTATTTATGGTGTGGGCCGGCTTACTTCTTTTTATTTTTTTTCTCGAACATTTTGTTTTGTCGAGGCATTTGGCGATATTTACATTTCTTTTTTACCATTAACACTAAAAAAACGAATGTTGTTGACGAAACATCGCTAAACTAAATCGTATCGACTCTATTTACGGAAGTGCATGGGGGGCAGCGGGGCTTGGGTTGCCGACCGGACGCCGCAAAGCGGCGTGTACGGGGGGTGGGGGGGCTAGGTGGGTTAATAGATTTGTAATTAGCAGCCGCACACCGTCACCGCGAAGCGGCGTGAACGCAGGCGCGGGGGTGGGTTAACGCGCTTCGAGTGATACACGAGCAGCCCATCCGGCGTGAGCGTCGTTGTTAGGGGTTCTATCGCCTGCACCGTAAAAGGAGCAGTGTGTGCACCTCCTGTAGGACGCTCATTCGGCACTCGGCACAAACTGATAAGCGCGTTTCGCTTTATCTGAGCCCGAGTGAGCGTCCTCCCCTCGAAGCAGAATGGAATTGCCCGGAGGGCTCGCAGCGCCCCCGCCAGCCACCGCCTCGGCCACGCGCTCCCAGTGGGTCTTTCATATTGCCGGAGAGTGTACCTTTTTGAAAACCGTGCTGCTGTTTAAAGAAAAGAAATGGGATGATAGGTGCCTCATGATATTGGAGTAGAGGATATGCTCAAGTAGTTTGCAAGAAATTGAAGTCAATGAATTAGGGCGATAATTAGATGCGGAAGAGCGGCTGCCCTGTTTAAAGACTGGGAATTATCCTTCCCACGTTTTGGTCAGATGGAAGGCACCTTTGAGATAAGGACTGAATAAAGATAAGTTTTAAATACTCACTCGAAATAACACTGGTGTTTCTTTTAAATTTTAGAGTTGATGTTATCGGTTCCAGCGGACGAAGTAAGTTTTAGTTTATCAATCAATGTTATAATACCGGCGGAGTTAACGTTAATAGGATGCATGCGCTCGTAAAGCCCTTCAGGGAGAGTGGGGACGGAGTCCAAGCACTCGTTAGTAAACACTGATGAAAAATATTCGTTAAACACAGAACTATCATGGTCGACGTTGCACATCCGACCATTCCTAACTCTCCCCATCTTCCTAAACGTCCGTGTGTGTCCGAACACCAGAAACCGGAATTTTAAAGGTTAAGAACGGCACGTTGCGAATATGGAACGCGCACTTTCATGCAAAGCTGACGTCAAGTGACTCAGATCGAAAAACATGCATATTTAAAATATTGTTATCTCTTCTGGTGAAGGCTCAGCAACCGTTGCGTCCGTTTTCGCGCACGAAACGGCGACTACCAGAGAAAGTAAGAACGCAGTGATTGCCTTTATTTTAACAATGTAAACACACTTGCAGGCGTGCGCTGATGAAGCCTCAAAATCAAAGCTCTCGTAGTGTGATTCGTGACTGTGCCGGCTACTACCCAACCTCGTTGTCACGCCACTTTCTGGAAGCATACACCAAAATTACAAGTAAACACACAAAAGCGACATCGATACAATTATCTTCTAGAATATCACCTTATTTAGTCATAACTCTTTCAATAGGCACTACAAGTTGTATTTATTCTAAGAAGAAGAAGCAAAATTTTTTTCGTGAGAAAAAACAAAATATCAATGTTAAGTCTGGTAACGTTGTAATTTTGCCGAATCATTTCCAAATCTTTAGAAAAGTTGGACAAAAGTTGCGCCGAATTTTCGATTTGGGGGGGGGGGGGGGGAGAGAGGGTCTGGTTTGCCCCCCCACTCAAAAACAAGTTGGTACGCCACTGGCCATCTGCCAAAACTACGAAATACGAGCTCTCTCGCACGTGAGAAAGCACGTGGTGCCTTTGTCGAACAATACGTAAGATGAAAAATATACACACACTAACAACCAAACAATAAACGCACACAAAAGAACGAGTAGAAGGTAAATACTAAGAGAGCTCCTTGTAGTTCGTCATGAACAGCAAAGGTGGTCCGCCGAGCTCCCTCATTAGCGTCTGGTGCAGGCGGGAGCAAGGGGCACTCCAGCAGGCCCACTCGAACAAACGCGGTCCCGACCGACACCCATTGTTTACCTCCGCGAACACGTACGCTGTCGGAGATCTCCCCCCTCCCAAATAAAGACGACCGCGAGAGGGGGAGGGGGTCATAAGAACTTTGCCTGATCCAGATGGAGGATTCCGAGGAATGCGACAAGAGGGGGGCCTCTTGAGCACGCCTCACCTTGAGGAACCGCGAGGCTGCTCCGCCCTCTCTCACTCCCATCCTAGTGAGTGAGTGAGCGAGCGAGCAAACCGGCGAACTCAGAAGAGAACCTAATCCGGCCGAAGAACCCTTTTGTGCACGTGCCCTACCCTCGGCTCTCCTGCTTGTTTTGACAGGAGCTGGTCGGGCGCGGGGCTTGAAAGAAGCGTGCGTCAGAGTTTGCGGACATAGGAGGGGCCCCACGGCCCCCGCCGGAGGAAAAAGCGCCGGTGAGCTCACCGCGTTCCCACAGGCCGCTGTTTACACATGCTTTTGCCCAAAAGAAGCGAGCAAATATTAGTGCCAGGAGAGGAGAGACAGCCCAAAAGTGCACACCGAGCGTAAACTGCCGGAAGAACCCCGTGAACAAGAGCCCGCCACCGCTGCTAATGCGAACACGCAAAAGCTTTTTCCGAGGTATATACGCTGCTCTTCACGGTTTCAAGGATTATACACGCTACGTTTCTTCTTTTATACCATGGGGTCGAAAGAACCGCGTTGTTTCCGCGGAAGGCGACAATGTGAGAGCGAACACCCGCTGTCGCGAGGGTGCTGCTCGAAAATTACTAATGCGAACAACGGCTTATATCGCGCAAATGTGAGCGCTAATGCGCTTAGCATCCAGATGGTCCTCTTCGGACTCCAAGCAGGAAGCAGCTCTAGCGCTTCCAATAACCATGCTGCGGCGTTTTGCTTTCCGAAAACAATGTAAAGTATACTTTTATCTTTTTTTTCTCGCATGTTCCGGGATAATGTCCCTATGAATGGCACGCTTGAAAGTCCGCTGGTTAACAGTTAGTACTACTACTGGCAGTGAGAGGGAACAGTTCAGGCGAAGCTCCTCCCACGTCTTCCCGCTTTAGCAGGGCGAACGCTGGAGGGGAGATCGCTTCCTCTCCAGGGTTCGCTCTGCCAAGTGGAAAGAGGTGGGAGAAGCTTCCCCTGAACCCTTAACTTGTCACTGGTTTTTCAGCAGCCATGCAGCGATTTTATATACACGTTTATCAGCCTATGTTTCGAACACTGAGGGCGCATCAAATACCAAGTGCTCAAATATGTTGCTCTTCCACTCTCCGAAAGGAATCTTTTTTTCGGTCGTTTCGAAACCCAACAAAAAGAATGCAAGAGATTCCCATTGGTTGCAGTGCGATATTAGAGAGTTTTAGTAGATCGTTCCCATGACTCCGATAACGATATCCCGATACTTCGCCGCCGCCTCCCTTGTGCATGCATAGTATCGTTATCGGGGCTATCGGAGGTATCGGAACGATCTACTAAAACTCCCTAATGAGATGCTAGTAACCAAAAGCGCTGAAAGAAAACCCGACGACCCCCCCCCCCCCCCCCCCTTTTTTTTTCCCCCTCCTACTTCTCCAGCGCCTCTGGTGGCACGCGCAGCAAAGTTTAGTGGTTTGGCTGACCCGCAGACGAACTTCGTCAAGAAGTGCATGCATACTAGAGTAGAGGGCAGAGGCGGCCGCTCCAAGAAGGAAGACAGCCGGTCGTAATACGGGACCACCCGGTCTTACCACCCTCCGAAGCTTGCACGCAAAAGAAAGACTCACAGACACACATACATGAGCCGGAGCTAAGCTACGATGAATGGGAGGAGCGCAAATAAAGGACAGAAAAAGAGAACGCGGCAGCAAGCGTCGGTTGCGGACAACACTGTGTTCTTGTCTGGGGGACCGTAATGAGAAGTCCAGCTTCTATGCCCGTGCGTAGACCCACACTACTTACTGGAGAAGCCGAAGGGGAAGAGAGGCGAGAAGGACGGTGCGCTGCTGACCACCCGGCTAAGAACCCCAAAGCTAAACCTACAAAAGGAAAAAAAAGAGGGCCACAGCGTGCAGAAAGAAGATGGACTCGTGAATCTTTCAAGGGCCACTCTGCCCGAAACCGATACTTTGGTCCTCGTCGGCGGGTCCCCTTCCCCTGGTCGTATAATCGCGGACAAAAAGACGGCAAAGAAGGAGAAAGTAAAGATAGCTGGCGAGATAGAGAGAGAAAGGAAAAGGGGGAGAAACCAGAGAGCAAAAAGCAGACGAGAAGGCCCACCAGGGCGACGGTGTTGTCTGAAGGACGCCGGGACAGCGTGTGGTCCGGCGTCCGCAGTTATGGGAAGAGCGGAAAGGTAGGGACGTGCGCACCTTCGGCGGCATCTCGAGTGAGACATCAGCGTCTTACGGAGGACGCCTTCCCGGGAGAGACGCGCCCTTCGCTTTCTTTATCCTTTTAACAGCCCAAGCGGGCGGTCGATGTACTACTCAAGCCAGCGGAACGTGTCGTCTTCTGTGGAGCTACCGAACGTCATCATCGTCGTCCTGCGTAAGAAACGCAGGGCGTGCTTATTATGTTCACGCTTTTTGCCTCGTGATGCGTCCTCCGACCCTCTTATCGGCTAATGCAGCACGCGGCCATAACCGACATTCGCTTCTTCTTTCTGCTCTTACCCCCCAAGTCGCTTACTTCATGAGTATGGACCTGTACGGTCGCGTGATATACGCGTACGCCTTCGCCGAGTTTAAGTACCGTGTTCATGTCCTCATCCCCAGTTTCAGTGGCTCGATGTATCGATGAAACGAGCAAAGCAGTGAAGAATGCTCTAATGAGGAAACCGCTGAAAACGCCTACAAACTCGCTCAAACTCCGCCGGTACCAACGCTACCTGAGGTGTCCGGTTAAAGAACAAAAAGCAAATATCCCTTGCCATTAAAAAAAAAAATAACAATAATAATTCATGAAAACGTGCAAAGGCAATCAATTTACCGGGTTCGACGCCAGCAAACCTCCTACTGCACTCCTTTCACACCGTTCCAGGTAAGCATCAATCTGTCAAAATTATCTTTAACCGACGAAGAAAAAAAGAAAGGGAAGGAATTACTCGTTCTTCTGGAGTTGGAATTTCTCTTTGCAGGGTGAATCCTTTTTAATCTCCCTCGCTCCATCAATGCTCTACCTCCCGGTATACCCGCATGCATATATATATACACATCGTCGCAGTGCCCCATCATCCATCTGCCTTGCGGCTCACCCAGAGACAAGCGTAAATCAATCGCGGACCTCATCTCAGGTTTTGCCTCCTCGTATCCATTTCCGACGTCTATCTGCGCACCCATCTCTCTCTCTCTCTCTCTCTCTCTCTCTCTCTCCACAGCGTCTGCCCGCATGTTCGTCGTTCATTAGTTTCACTGTCTACCTGCCACTTTGATCCGGCATACTAGTGCCTCCATCTATCTTCTCAACTCGCACTACCGCCATCGTGAATTCTTCCGCTATTTCTGCCTATTCGCACGCGCGTCTTCTCTTTAGTTTCTAGCGTTCCTTCCCCCTTCCACCCCTCCGCCCCTTCTCCCTCCACTTTCTATCCATAATTATAACAGGCGGCAACTCAAAGTTCGTAATAAAAAAAAAATAATAAAAAAAGTGGCTCGGTCGCTTAATTTTTGTCATAAAATGCCACTCGGTGAACGTCCCTCGATTTGTTTTTTTAATGTATTTACTTTTAAACGACGAGGTGAACGTCCCTTGATGCAGTGGCATGCGTCGACTCTTATCAGATTATTTTTTTTTATAAGTTTTAAACAAGAAATAACGAACTCCACTTCTTTTAAACAACCGCCGTTGAAGTTATTGCACTCATTCGAAGAGGTGGCATAATGAAGTAATGGAGATATAAATTAGAGTCAATATATGGCCCAGTTAACCAACGCTGGATCGTTTCTTTAGGTCCTCTAAGCCCCCATAAACCAATATTTCGCTATCCAAATAGGAATATCAACGATGTCCAGCGTTCGCAATGTTTGTTTCATAGTTGGACGCTATACAAAGTACGTTATAATAACGATAATCACTAGAAAGCACATATATTACTGCCGCGTATTGATCGACAGTAACATTAGCATCTAAGCAAGTGTTACGAGCCTTTTTTTTTTAATTTCAATTTCGTTAGTTATGATTGTTCTACAGATCGAACGCTCCTACCTGAAAGTTTAAAGAAGAAAAATAGACGTTGGAAGTTAGGACGGCGTTAGTTAGGTCAGTCTGCTTACCATAGTCCGGCGACGCGTGGCTTAAGTTACAATGTATAGGATCAATGTAACCACAGAAGCAGGACTGCGAGATTGAAGTCTTTAATTAACGCGCATCGCGCAGTAGCAATAGCACTTAAAAGACAATGGCAATGGCTTCCCCCCCCAAACGTCATCACTAGTGGGTCGACGCAGCGCCGCGCGTTTTGCAGCGTCTGAGGCCCAGACGGAAGCGTCTGCCGCTCTGCGGAGTCTCCGGTCGAGCTACAGCGTCTTTGCCACTTGGGGCAAATCAGTGGGCCACCAACGATGACGTCACGCGGGGGCCTCGTCTTCTAGGTGGTAGCCTCAGTCAAGGCCACTCGCCGGTATGACGTTCGTCCAGATCGAAACGGGCGGGAACGGAGATCGAACCCAGTTGTGCAGCGCAAGCCCGCTGCACCAAGGCATCATTATTCGTAGTAGAACTCGTTGGGACGAACGTCACGTCGCGTCCGTCTGGACAAGTACCTCCTGACGTCAATTGGTCACGTGACACAATGAGCCACGTGGTCACGTGACCTACGTGACACACTGGCTCACCTAACGTCTCCATGTCACATGGCATGTGACTCTCAATCTTTGACGGTACGTCTCTTTTCAAAAAACAAAAACTCCCAAGAAAAAAAACATTCTCCATAAACAAATTAAAAAAAAAAAACTATTATTTTTGGTTCGAAAATTATAGGCTACGGAAACCGCGAATATAATTTTGCACCGTCGTATAGTTCCCGTGTTCTCGAGAAGGTGGGCGAGGGAAGATGGCGACTCACCGTCGAACCTCTGCATGCGCGTGGCGAACTTGGTGCGCACCTTGCCGATCTCGTCGTGCAGGACTCGGTCGAACTCCTCCCTGCTCTGGGCGCTCAGCCGGTGCTCCATCTCCTGCGTGCAGCACGTCAGGGACCTCTCGCAGATCTGAAGGTGGTCACCTGCGTACAAGACCAAATGTTAACAGCTTGCTCGGGAAACCGCAGTCTTCGCACTCTCGTATCCCCACTGTGCTTCGGGCTGTGTTTACGTTGTTCCCTTCGTTCATTTCCACTAGTCATTTACCCTTTCCCATTAACCACCACAATCCCTCCACTCTCGCCTCATTTAACGCATGTTTTCAATCATTCGTTCATTCATTCTTCTCTACCGTTTTTCACACCCACAAATTGTGTGAAAAAAAAAAAAAAAAGGCGGGGGGGGGGGGGGGGGGGGAGGGGCAAGGTTCATCAAGCTGTCTCGACCGAGCATTTTCCGCCTTAATCTCATGCAGCATGTTGATAAAAATAGTTTTTAAAAAAATATTTTATCAAAACACATGCAACCAGCTTTCTGCGTCCTTACCGCCGAAGTTATATCAGTTGCGGAACGCAGCCATATACAAACGTATGCGGAACCATTCCCTACACGCAACCTACGCGGACGTTTCTAGGAATAGTTTGTGTCGTGCGCCGAAGGCTGGGACAAAAACGAAATACTGATCGATTCGTGAATTCACTGATTGAACTTCACATCGTATAGGAAAACATGTTTGCTCAGTTCGCTGCTTTAGCAAGTCGGTCCCCATTTGATTCGAAGAATAGTTGGGAACTTGGGATAAATGCGTTTCTGGTTACTAATTATCAGTCCAGCTAGTGTAAACCGGGGAGCAATATACCCGTTTCTAAAAGTAGGAAGTGTGCGAAGCGATTACGAGTGAAGGACCAAAAAATATTTGTTTAGCCATGGTGGAAACCTAATATATGTAAATAGAGGTAGCAACCTCTTCTTTATTACATTTATTATATTATATTCTCTATTACAGAGCACAACAGACAGCTATCATTACAGAGTCACTCTACAAACAAACACGTAACACACGTACATACACACACACATGCGCGCGTGCGCACATACAGATATCAAAGCGACAAAACGACTCAGGAAAGAAAAGAGGCCGCCTACGACTGACATGAAGAGGGTCCCCATATGCCTTATCGAATAAGAAAATGGCATCGAATAAACTAAAAAGAAAAGGGATTTTCCTCCCGGTCGGAGCGTTTCCCCTCGTTCTATCCCTTATTGAATGGCTCTTCAGTCGACTTGCCGCGCTAACGGACAGCGATGTTCCATCTCAAAACCCAAAGACGTTGAAAAAATAAAAAAGCAAGCCTCGATCGAAACTGCGCATATAATATATATATATATTATAAAATAGCCTTTCTGGCAAAACCTCAGGGTTGCAAGCCTTCCCAGCAGTTTCCTTTTTACTTGCCTGTGTTTTTGAATTTCCTTTCTTTCTTTACCGTCTGTACGGTTAGAAGCTCGCTGGCCATGGGTCGAAACGAGAAAAGTGTCATCACAAATTCACCCCTCGACAGCACATCGACGCCACCGCCTTTAAAAAGAAAAAAAAAAAAAGATAAAAAGAAGACGATGGAAATAATAAAAAAAAAAAAAAGAAGAAGAAGAAGAAGAAAGCCCGGAAGCAGAATAGATGAAAAAGCGATGGAAAGAGAAAGAAAAAAGAGAGCGAAGAGGGTGAAGTAAGGGGATGGGGAGGCGGTGGTGACACGCAGTAATCGAATCGTCGGGATAGCTCTTTAAACGCAACCGGAAACGCAGGAAGGAGCTTGCCAAATCGTGACGGAAGCAGATTGAAAAAAAGAAAACGATGGCAGGTTTGGAAGCGACGACCAGCATAATACAACATAGGGCCATCGTAGGGCACATATTCAATCCTAGCCCAAGACTGAGTCAGCAATCGTCACCCATCTGCGCTGGCCCATAATGGATGACGTAAAAAAAAGAAAAGCAGCCGCAAAATTCGGCGTCTGCACATGGAAAGTTCAAACATTCACCTACCGACCAGGTCAGTTTTACCGTGTGAAATTCAAAGGCGCAGTTCTATTCCCGTAAAAAAAATTAAAGCAACAAACTTTCCAAAGTCAATGTCGAGCGGTTTCGCAGACGACAGGCGACGCTAGAGAGCCCGTATTACCGAGAGTGTCCAACTGCTCCATTGGGGGTCAGGGGGTTTATGGGCCGCGTTCGTAGCTACGACGATGTAGCAAAACTGTCGACCGTCTGCTAACGTCTCCGCCTTTCCGCCAGCTCTCCTCCTCGCCACGCGACAACGCAGCGCGTGCGCACTTGCAGCCGATCCCCGTCGGGGGCGTCCGCCATTAGATTGCACACGTTCCCCATGTTTGAACTTTGAGATGAACCCTATCTTCAATCTGCAGGATCTCTAAGTGACGCTATTAACTTGTGGCGTCATCTCCCGAAGACAATAGAGTGCGTCGTCTCCTCGCTGCGCCTATCGGAAGATGGCGCCACGAGTTAATAGTTTCGCTAACCCTGTCGTCTGCGAACCCGCTCGACGTTGACTTTGGCAAGTTTGTTGCTCTAATTTTTTACAAGAAAAGGCCTACGCCTCTAAATTTCACGCGGTAAAATGTACCTGCTCACTGCACATTTGGTGAAAGATTGAGCTTCCAATGTGCAGGCGCCGATTTTTCTGGCTCGGTTTACAGTGTCAGAGGAGCTTGTGTCATTTTAGTCGCTTGCAGAAACACACGGAGTGGCCTATCGCGCTCAAGCTTACTGCTTCCTGATTCGTTCTTGTCGGCTAATGGCGCAATTTCATTGGCTGCGGAACAATAATGAGATGCTTCGGACTGGCCACCTCCTGGGTTTCTTAAGTGGTTACTATATGTTATCAATAATTCGGACCTCCAAAGTGATGAAGTAGGCCCACGCAGAAAAAGCGAGGGCCCGATTACCTTGCCCTCTCATATAAGAGTGCGTCAGAAGTGCTCTATGGCGCCGGTTAAAAACGTAACAACCGATGCCTCCACTTACGAGGTCACGTAATATAAGTTAAAACAAACAAGCAATCGCTCACTGACAAATCTAAGCCCGCAAACGATGCGCGTTGATAGGCCTCTATGAGAGTATTTAGTGTAGCCGCCGCCGGAGACGACTCTTATAAGCGCTTTAAAACGACGCCAGTACAGTCACACTTCGGCTATTATTACATCTCACGTAAGACGACACCAGTCAGTTTAACTGGTGAGGTCGACATATGGTGTTGTTGCCGCTTATGAAGCTCGTCAGGAACAACCGCACTTTCGCCTAGGAAAGCACTTCCGCTTGTCGCCCAGTCACGGCGCTATCCCAAACAAACAGAACCGCAGTTGAAGCAAAGCACAATTTCAGCACACAAAGAACACAAGTCGGAGACTCTGATCCGCCTGAGGAAGCAAATCCGTTCGTGGAAATGTGCCGCTATAAAAGGATCGCAACCTTATAACCGATACTAGACATACGCGACGCGCGTGCAAAAAGAAACACCCACAAAGAAACAGAGGCAGCGACTCGTCGTCGGGAGCCTGTTGCTGTTTGTGTGTGTGTGTGTGTGGGGGGGGGGGGGGGGGGGGCAGGGTGAAACAATCCCGCAAGAAACTTTTAGCATGTACCCTTCCTCGCCGAGCACCGCGGTAGGACTTCTAATGGTATTCGACAAGGTGCTTCCGCCATTAGGACGACAAATTGCGGCAGGCTCTGGTGGAAGAGGGCGGCTACAACTTGCCCGCTCCCTGAAGCCGACAGTGGAGTGAAAGGCGAGCGGCTATAGCTGAACCAATGAAGCGTCGGAACCGGCACGCCTCGTCACGTGACTTCCTCCTCCTTCTCCGTGTGGATCGCGGCCAGAGCACGGTCACGTGTGGGGGGAAGCCGACCGGTTGATTGGGCTTTCGAGGACGCAGCCTTCCACCATGCTGTCGCTGCCTCGGAGGGGGCAGTGTGAGCGGAAGAGGCGATGCACGCGGCAGTTCACGCGGCTGGCTGAGCTCTCGAGAGTCGGAACTCGGGGTGGGGGGAAACGGGGGAGTCTAGACCCGGAAGGTGAACCCGGAGGGGAGGGGGTCGTGAGAGGAGAAACAGCCGGGTGCACTCATGCGTTGGCGGCGGGCGCACGAGCGCGTGCGGCCCAGACACCGGAAAGACGATGGGGGAAGGAGAGAAAAATAAAGAGAGTGGGATATGCCTGTGTTGTCGGCCTCTCTTTGTCTGTGTGTGGGTGTGTGTACGTGTGTTTGTGTGTGCGCGTGTGTGTGTGGCGAGCGAGTGGCCGTCTCTGCACGAGCAGAATAACTTACAGCGGCAACGTGGATGTCGTGTTACGAAGTGCTTCGTTGTCGGGATTCTTTGTGTTATACGAGATTCGGAGAGTACAGCAACGCTCATCTGTTTTGTTTGTGTTTCCAAATTGGAATTCGGGGAACGATCGGGGGCTTGTTTCCCGTCAATTTGTGAAATCGGGAGTTTTGGAGCAGCATTTTTCCTATCGCTCTCAGGAAACAAAAATCCGTACCTAACTGCCTGCAAAGATGGTGGACAAGGTCAACGGAAACACCTGACAATATGAGAGTACGCCAAGCAAAGTACCCTCAGATAAAAAAAGAAGGTAGCGCGACAGTTTTTATAACGCCTTGCCTCGGAAAGATTCGTATAGCGGACTTCACGTCACAGTAGAAAGGACACCCAGCAGTAAGGCTAACCCCCGAGCGAGGGTCCCTGGCCCGGAAGAAAGCCAGCCCGAGGTCTTCGTGCATTTTCTTCCAGCAACAACGGGAAAGAATAACCACAGAACGGACGATAAACGATACTTTTACGTATGTTACACAACACGCTTCGTAACGAACCAACTTTTCTGTTCGCAACTATGCAGAAATCCGAATACAGTTTATGTGAGAATAAGGATAAGTACATTTTAAAAACGTGGGTCGTTTACTTGCTCCCAAATTTTTTTTTTTTTAATGGGGTTCCAGGTTTACGAATCTGCCCGTGCTTTTAGTATCGTTTCTTTAACAAATTTCTCATCACTAGCAGTGCTTCTTACGTTCTTATCATATCCATCACTCTACTAATAAAAAAAAAAAACGAATTGCGATAT